TTGATGTGTCGCTCTCACATTGATGTTTCTCTCTCTCCCTCCCCCTCCCCCCTTCCACTCTCTCAGAAAAAAATAAATAAGTGGAAAATATATCTTCAGGCAAGGATTAACCAAAAAAAAAAAAGCGGGGGGCAGGAGGGGACCCTGTCTCCTTTGGGGTGGAGTGCGTTAAGGGAAAGAGAGAACCTAAGAACATTTAGGGGAAATTCCACCTCACATACACCAGAGGGGAAGAGGCTCTCCCCTCTGATAAGAGGCAGAGCCAAGATTTGAGCCCAGGCCTGCCTGGCACCAAAGCCCACACTCTTAACCACCATGGTATCTGTATACAAAATGTGTCTAGTGAGCTATTGGCAGGGTAGACTAGCAGGAGTCCATTATTCTTGAGGACTTTGAAAAAATTAAGAGAAAGAGAGAGAGATTGATGGTGTATGTCAGGAAAATAAGTATATTGGAAAGGCAGGATCTGTACCCCCACGGCATGGGCCCGGCCTCCTGGACTTGGGTCTGACCAGAGAGAGAATGAGAGACACAGCCAGAGACAGACTGTAAACAGAAATGGAAAGAAGAGTTTCTATTAAAAACTCTGTGAGTCCCCCAGCCGGTTTGGCGCAGTGGATAGAGCGTTGGCCTTTGGACCCTTTCGATTTCAGTCAACGGTACATACCGCAGTTGCAGGCTCAACCCCCGACCCTGGTCATCCCAACAGGAGGCAACCAACGATCTCTCTGTCTCTCTCTCTCTCTCTCTCTCTCTCTCTCTCTCTCTCTCTCCCCCTTCCCCTCCCTCCCCTCCCTTCCACTTTTTCTAAAAAATGAAAACAAAAACAAACAATAAAACCTCTGTGAGACCCAAGGCACAAGAAGCCACACTCGATCTAAGGCATAAAGTCTAGCATGGAGTCCGGGAGAGAAAACTCCCCACTTCAGTGTGGAAATCAGTGTGGAAATCAGTGTGGCTCTGGAGCAATGAGGACTCCAGAGAATGCAGCTCTTCCTTGGTCCCCTGACACCGTGGCAGTGGCAGTGGAGGGAGAGCTGGGCACAGGACTAATGCGAACGTGTGTACAGGCCGCTCAGCTACAGAGGAGATGGCAACGCCAGGTGTATCCGTTAGGAATAAGGTAGCTGCATGTAACATAATTTTTTTAAATCGGTGTATTAGTTTTCTCTGGCTGTGTAACAAGTCACCACAAACTTTGTGGTTTCAAATAACACACATTGCTGATTTCACAGTTCCTGTGGCTCAAGAGCCTGAGCGCCTAGCGGGTTCTCTGCTTAGGATCTCCTGTGGCTCTAATCAAAGCACCAGCTGGGCTGCAGCCTCACTGAGGACCCACTTTCGTGGGCAGAACTCAGTTCCTTACCGCTACAGGGCTTCTTGCTGGCTGTCAACTAGCAGCTGCCTTCAGCTTCTAAAGGCTGGTCTCAGGTCCTTGCTGCATAAGCCTCCCAACATAGCAGCCACGACATGGCAGTTCGTGTCTTCAAAGCCAGAGAAGGCAGGAGAGACGCCAGCAGGAGGGGCACTATAATCTTACATAGGTCCCGTCACCTTTGCCATACTCTGCCGGCTACACGCAAGTCACATGTCACACCCACAGTCAAGGGTGAGGATCCATAATAGCATGAAAACCATTACATATTCCAGTGGTTCCAAGACTGAAATGATCTTCAGAATCACCTAGAAACTTAAAATCTCAGATTCAGAACCCACTCCTACACCTGCTAAATTAGACTTTCTGGAAGTACACCCAAGGTTTTTTTTTGTTAAACCAAGTTCTTTATGAGAGTCTGATGGTGAACCAAGTTTAGAAGCTACCATTATAGACATTTTCAGTAAGTAATTACTACATCTTTTCCCAGTCTCCAAACTACGTTTCCTAGAGTTGAGATATAGATTTATTTTTTAATCTAAATATCTGTCCAGTGACTCTAATGACTCTATTATTGTGTAAAAATGGCATTAAATTAATCATATTAAATTAATTGATATTATTAGGTGATTACAAACCCCACTCCAACACCAAACACAAAGAATGAGGAAGGAAGTGAAGGGGGTTCATGATCAAGTCTCCTTCACCTCACTCAGGTCAAACTCTTGTCACACAATAATGCCAACTCTAACCTATCCTCAGACAACCCACTTCTCACAACGAAACATGTTTACAGATGTGCTATAGACATGATTTAAGGTAAAATAAAAAGAACACTGATAATAGATGGGCATTTTAATTTTTTACTGATAAACCATGATTTTTATTGTATACATAGTAGAGTACCATTAACAATAACATAACATTTAAAATTTAAACTTTCAGTATTACCTTGATCGATATATAAAGCTTTAGTTTTGGGGAAAAGAATGCTTCACTTCAACAGTATGTGTCACATATGCAAAACAGCTTCTCAAAATAGATTTATGGACAAAATTTTATAAACCTTCCTGTGTTCATAAGAAATTGACTCTACCACATCAACTGCAACCTCCTAAAAATCCAAAACATAAAGGCTTGAGGGACCAGGATAGAGCCATATTTTATTGAAGCTATTAAAGCTAAATCTCAAAGAAGAGTGGTAAACTGTGGCCTCATGACAACATGAAATAGAAATCTTCTTAAATATGTGGCTACATATATCAATATCATCCCTATTCCAGAGACATACACACACACACCCAGCATCCCTTGACGTGAGAAACTCAGAAATCATCTAGAAAATATCTATTTTCCTGTGTTAGAATAATAATGGGCATCAAAATGACAACATTCTATGGAATGATGCAGTGTGGCACTGTCTTTGGATGAGGCACACGAAAACAAAACTCATTGGCTAGAAATAATTTTGAAACAAGCCTACTCCCACTGGTATGGACTTAATAAAAAATGTATAGTTAATATTTAGTTTCCTGAAGTAAAACAACAGACCTCTATTCAAACTAGTGGTAAAAATAATTGCAACTCCAATTACTCCCAATGTAACAAGATACTTAACATAAATATCATTCGAATAGAAAATAGAAAAATTTTAAGTTCCTATAAGTATTATGCTTTACTAGAAGTTGAAAACAAAGGAAAGTGAAGACTATGCTCTTCTGTTTAACAGAAGCCTCTATGGAGAGTATAAAAGGTTCTGAAGCTTATCCAAGAGTGAATCCACTTACTATAAGTGTCTCAGATTTACAATGTGCAAGAAAATGATGCACCCAAGGATAAATATACAATGGCACCTGGACCCATAGTAGCCACTTGGCAAGCTCAAAATATCTATTGTTCTTATGTTAAGAAACCTTGTCAAGGCGATTTTTACAACATATTTTTATAGAAATCAGTATTAAACTTCAATAACTCAAATTATAAAAAGTAAGGCTGTTACAAATAACTCCAGATTATATACCAACAGTTTAATAAGATGGCTTCTTTTTTAAAGATGGCCCAAGGAAATCATAGCTCCAATTTTTTTTTAAAAAATGTCATAGGACAGCCAGAAATGTTTAATGAAATAAATGAATTATATCAAAATAAAGATAATTGATGTTATATTGCCAGACTATTTATAACTATATTTAACATAAACAGAAATTAGGGCTAAACATAACTTTAAAAAAAATAACTATACCCAGGTTTTAAAGAATGGGATCAGGGAGAATTATGTTATCTGCAATTCTGAAAATTTCCACATGTAGGATATGGTATTGCATATAGAAGTAACAAACTGTTAGGTAACAGATACATATCTGGATTTTATATTAGCACAATACTCCTTGAATTTTACTATAATCAACATACTAAAACAAAGATATTATTGTTAGAACATATGGAAAACATAAAGTACAATAGGTAGTAAGATGGTGAAAACAAATATAAAAGCATTGTTCTGTTCTTGAATTGTTTTGCTACTAGTTTTCCCAACATTCAGTCTCTGGCACCATTGTCCACTCCAAACTGGAAGTGAGGAATGCTGGTGTTACTTAATAAGGCTCCCAGTTGATGGAAAAAGAGGGGAGGGGGCAGCTTTAAATTAGTTCCTATCAGTAAATGAAATTGATGGCATCCTAAATGGAATTTAAGTCAGCATAAGCAAACTTACACATAAAGTGATTTTTTAATATTACTCGTAGCATGTGAAGAAAATAGTCTATACCATTAATGTTCACTACTAGATATCCTCCTTTCTCCTTATTTCTGTGGCTTTTTAATCACTTTTCATCCAAACCCATGGCCTGTAGCAGGCAAGTCTTCTGAGACATGAAGGAGGAAGTCCTAATTTTTAAATGAGGAAATATGGTCTAAAAAATATTCAAAGCCCGGCCCCATGGCTAAGTTGGTTGGAGCATCATCCCATGCACCAAAAAGTTGCAGGTTATGGAAGGCAATGGATCAATGTTTCTCTCACACATCAATGTCTCTCTCTCTCTCTCTCTCTCTCTCTCTCTCTCTCTCCCCCTCCATTTCCCTCCCCCTCCTTTCTTCCCTCCCTTCCTTTCTCCCTTCCTCTCTAGAATTAATAAAAAATATCCTCGGGTGAGGATAAAATAAGAAAAAGGTTCAAACTATCTTCCACTGGCCTATCCATTCTAGGGTTTTCTACTATATTACACTCAAAGTTCAGTATAAATTATTCACCAAAGAATATAAGGTATTGGTGGTCAGCAGGGCAGGGTAGGAGGTACCTTTGTCCCCCCCTACCCCCCATCGCCAGCTTCATTACACCATACAGGAGGCCCACACATGTGATATCCAATTACATATAACAATGCTTATTCTAGATCAGAGTGTTCAACAGTGTGACAGAACTTTTCCCCACTTGGAAACAAACACAGGAAAATTATTTGTTTGATATTTAACTGCTCTGTCTCCATAGACCTCTCAAACTTTAAAGCACTGAATGCTGGTGATTTCTACTTTGGTATCCAAAATATCCATAAACAATAATACATGAACATCCACTCGACTACACTTTCTTAAAGTTAACAAAAAATAAAATTGTCTTTAAAATTCATTTTAAAAGATATATTTGCGTACTTTATTTTTGACAGCTTTATTTTTAAACAGTTGAAAATATTGTAATGCAGACTCTCTGGAGCCCATGGCAATTATTTTTCCCAGGTCCTTGAGAGGTATGCCATGGACTTAAGGAGTAACATTAAAACATTCCTTAGAGTTAGTAAAAGTTCTTTCATTTGTTTTTTATATAGCTAATATATTTAGAAGGGGAAGTAGGAAAAAAGAAGGAAAGGGAAGGAAGACAGAGGGAGGAGAGAAAAGAGAAAGAACAGGAAAGGAATTCTTCTTTAAAGATTTCACCCAGATAAATGAATATTATGACCCAGGTGCTCACAATTCAGGAAATTTTTAAGCATTCGCAGCAAGCATCAGATGGCCCCAGATGGCCCACAGTGTGGTGCTCAGACGCTGGAGCCTAGAAGCGCTTCGGCAGGTCCCCGGCAATGCCCTACATACTTCACTTCAGCCATCACGTCACGACTCTGGTCCCTGGCAAACCTCAGCTGCTTTTGCAGACCAGAGAGGTCACTCAGCCATGACTTATTGAAGATTTTGTCATAGCCCTGGCTTATCACACCCTATTCCTAACAAAACGTGTGCCTCCTGGCCTAGGGCCTTCTAGTCTAAGTCACGTAAGGCAAGTATTGCAACGCGCTCCAACCCTCCCCCTGAAACAGAGCCAGCGTGTGGGCTGAGGACGGACGTGAGAAGAACAGCACACCCAGGACCCTTTCAGGTAGTTTTCTGGACACACCTCAACCGCTGCCCCCACCAGCAAAGCACAGGAAAACACATTCCCTTTCCCATTCTTCTCTCCAGAAGAAAAACAGAGGAAATGTAAAGGTATGTGGTATATGATTACATTTGGAGTGGAAAACCACATTTTGATTTTAAAAAAATTCACCATCTACATTGGAAAAAGGGGGATGTGATATGCAATGGCAAAGGAGGTACAGAGACCACGGCGGTGGGCTGGGCTGGGGAGTAGTGTTAAGGTGGATGTGGGAAGGGGACAGAACAAGCTCCTCCTTCTGGCTGTTTTCTCCCAGTTCTCCGGGAATTTGTCTTTAACACTAAAAACTAATATGACTGAAGCTATTTTAAAATGGAGTCAGAGCTGCCATCCCAAAGGAGCTGCCTTGCGAGCCTGAGGCCTCACACCTTCGGGAGGTTAACACAGGGCAAAATAACCTACAGCGGCTCTGTGTCTGCAAGGACAGCAAGGAAGCAGCTATTGTGACTACCACACTGATGGCTACGGGGCTGAAAATGAAACACATCGTTCAGAATTAAACATCGCTAGGTTAGCTCATCTGCACCAATAGGAGCATCTTCCTTCTAATGATGTCATTGCTTTCCTTCCCTTTCTCATAAATACCCCTTGTCTCTGTCTCCTAACCCGAACACTATCTGGGCTTCTGCCTGAATCAGTGCTTTCCGAGTAACGATTCCTTTTTATCTCAAATAAATGCTGATGCCTCTAGCCTTGGCCTTTTATTTTTAGGTTATCAATACTAAAGGAAAGACTGATGTTTAACAAGTCTGAAGAACCTCATTTCCTCTGGAAAATGAAAAGAAGAATGGATCTAAAATAACACATTTATTCTGGAGAAAACAACACCTCCTCCAAAATCCTAAAATATTTTAAAGAGGGGAAAAATAAAGATATACAGCTGCAATAATTCGACATTTTGTTGCACACGGAAGTCAGGTGAAGAAATCTATGCAGCCATACCTACTAGGACCTGTGGTACAGCATCCCCCTCAACCCCACAAAAAGAAGGAAAAAAAATTGTTTTTCAAAATAGTCAGAAGCAACATTGGATTATGAAAATAAGACAATCACGTGTGACTCTGGAAATGGGTTCCACGGAGCCCTTAAAAAGTCAGTCACAGCCAACGCTGCAAGGAGAACAGAAGCATGAAACAGAAAACAAAAACAACTGGGGAGTGATGGAGGGAGGCCGGCGCGCCGCTCTCGCTCTCGTAGGGGCAGCTACAGAGGTCACAGGAGGACAGCTTCACTTTGGAGTTGTAACTTCTCACCGCTCGTCTCCCTGTTCAAAGAGGAGGACATCAGTTTACACGTCTCCCTTGTTTAGAAACTTAAACTTTGCCAAAACTTAAAAGCATTTCAATACACTTTCCTGAGTTTTCCATTCTCCATACAATTTTATTTTTCTTTACAAGAAACAAGTGAAATGCTCCAGAGGGGCCCACACTGCTAACCAAATCCAAGTGGGAAACAGCGCTTTCGGTCCAATCTGTGCACCACCCACAGTTGCCGGCATGAACAGAGAAAACGGGCTGCAGCTGCCTGCTTTGGGGCAAGCCCACCCTGGAGCCTCCTGGAACGGGAAAGACTTTCAATTAAGGGTTGTTTCACTTCCTCCAGAGTTTCTTTTAGGGCGATATTGTCTGTGCATTCGAGTAAAGTTCTGATCATGAGAACTACTGAAAAGAGATACTTACATTGTATGTTAACTATAATTGAAAAATAAATTAATTTTTTTAAAAAACAGAAAGAAGATTTTACAAAGGGCTTTATTTAAAAGTACAAAAATATGAAGAAAACTCCGCTTATGCAATGCCTTGTTTCAATGCTGTAAAACGGTGATTTTCCAACTGGTGTGTCGCAAGAATTTTTAAACCATGCAATACCTCTCGATTGAGTCAGGGGCACTGACCTCCTTTCCCTTAGATTGCCAAGTAAAAAAAGGACAACAGTCAATACAACCATAGCTGTCCAATGTGAATGAATCAAAATTATACCTATTTTTTGTCAGATCAGCAAAAAATTATATTTTGGGGGGGGTGCAGCAGAATTTTAGTAATTAGTTTATGTGTGCCATGAGATGAAAAGGATTGAAAATTGCTGCTTTAAAACATTGAGAACATAATCTCTAAAAAGTACTCAGCTTTGGTAAATTTTATAGGATAAGCTAATATGAAACAAACTATATAAAGCACTTCTAACACTCTAATGAACTCATTATAAAACAAATTACTTTAATTTTTACAATTTTCAAAAATATCCTATCTTCAAATTCCTTCCTATTTAATTTTTTTAATGTTATAAATACGTTTTCTAACTTTAGGATTTTCAAAAATGAGATGGTGGGCTTTTAAAACTCTGATCTTTCCCACGTGTTCATTTAAAAATGTGCCTCTCATAAATAAGTTGTTTTCCACACACAAAAGTAAATTTACATAGACTGAACCTCTTTGGTTTCTTAAAGGTTGAAAATGTTCTCTGTAACACCTAAGGAACAGCACTTGGGAAATTCTGCAGCGAGGTCAAATAACAAAGTTGGATAACTAGGCACTATCCTTGCGTCTCCACAGCATATCCGGTCCTTCTGGCAGAAACAAGGTACAGCATCAGTGGTTCCCCAACATGTCCCCAAGGACCTTGCAAATGATCAGTTGTCTTCATTTAAATGAAAAGCTTACCTCCTGCTCCCCTACCCTCCTACACTTCCCCTAACAATACCCCCCACCACAAAACCAATCCAGTGGTGACCACTTTGAATAAATGAATTAATGAGTGAGTGAATGAATGAAGGGATGGATGGGTGGATGCCTAGCTTAACTCCTAAAGTAACAGGAAGTCAGAACGCACTTACTTGGTTCATAGTAATCCACTATGGACACAGAAGCATCTTGTGCATTTGAAACTTTAAAGTTTCTCACAGCGGGGATATCAACACAGAATTGGGTTTCATTTACCTTGAAAAATACAGAAGACTTTTAAGAAAATGGCAGACTATGTGTTCATGAAAAAGTAAAAGATATTTCTTTTTCTTATCATTTTAGGAGACAGATACAGAAACTAACACTTAGGGAGCACTTCTACATGCCCTGTACTGTGGTAAGCACTTTATATAAATTATCTCATTTAAGCATAAACTACCCTTACAGGACAGGTATTGTTCTTACTTCCATTTTACTGAGAGGGATAGATACTGAGTGGTCAAGCAGCAATCCCAAGGGCAAATGCTCCGAGGCCCTGGTGCCTCACCCAGACCCCCTGCCTCGGGCAGTGTTCCTGCTAATAGCTCACAGCAGCCCCTTATCTGGAGAAAGGCCCTCAGTTCACAGGAGCCACTTCTCCCAGTGAGTGAGGTAACCCTGGGGTGGACGGGTACACCGCGTAGGTGGGAGCACCCCGCAGCCAATGACTGATATGAAGTACAAAAGGCCAGCCTCCTTGCTTCTAAGAGGGGCAGCTTATGCCAAGTTGGCAAACAAAACTGGTTAAGGAATCTAAAATTGACAAATGCCTTCAAACATTCTATCATATACCAATTAGCAGTAAATAAAAGTTCAAATTAATCTGTCAAAACATAATGGACACTCAAATTAAGATAACTATTAACAAGCACATCTCGGGTATAGGACAAACTTCAAAACCAATTATGTTATTAAATAAAAACTCTAAATTTGTTCTTCAAGTTCTAAATCAGGCCTGTGGCTTTCAAGCAGTTATTTAGTATATGAAAATTCCTGAACAGCAAAAGAATCCTAGAGACCCTGAATTAATTTTAACAGGTTTTTAACCAGAGTGACTTTTGAAGTCTTAAAACAATGAGAACATTCAAGAACTAGCTTTTTAAAAGTAGATATATTGCTAAAGCAATATATTTCTGATTCATATTTGGCAAAACTGGAATAAAAAAACATACATATTCCCCCCATGTAACATGAAATCTAAAACACTTAGAACTCAAATTTCAATTCAACCTATGAATTTCATATAGATGTTAGAAGAAAAGAATAAACTTACAGACCAGCGGTTTTAAGACATAAGTAGAGTCTTGAATTCTTCACTTACATTATTCTCACATATTTTATGCACTTTATTCTTGGACCAATAATTTTCATACAGCAATGGGAAGTATGTATGAAAATTATGTAATAATTACATATAAAGACCAAACCTCTGAAAATATTCTGCTATGATGTAAGCACCTGACATCAATGCAGGAATATTGACCCACTTTGGGATTTATTTAAAGCTTCATAAAAGCATTTTAAAACATGTAATTAAAGCTTTCATCATCAGCATTTAAACAAATATGTTTAGCAATTCCCTGAGGCGAGGGAGGGGTTCTCAAAGTGAGATCTGGACTTGATTTTTAAAATTCTAATGTGGCAGTTTCTATATATTTATTTTACATCTGGCATGAAATAATGATTTGGTTATCAAGACTTTCATCGGGGTCATCATTAATAGCAATGCTCTTTAATTAAACTAATTCTATAATGATGTCTTTTTAATGAGAACAAATATAAGGTTGCTGTGTTAAAGTCACTCAGGGACACAAAACGCTGAAATAACAACTTAAAGAAAACATGCGTAAAGTAAGGGAGACTTTGAACACAAGAAATGGAGGCTCTGTCAATGGTCACCATGATGAAACGGGTTTCACTACTTACAGAATCCAAGTATAGGTTGAGTTTCCCCTGATTGGACTCCACTTTCTTCACTGTCTCGCTCAGAGGAATTGCATTTGACGGCACAGTGAAACCGCTGAGCAGGTTCACTTCCATGAGGGCCATGCCACTTCTTTCTGGGCCCAAAAACCTACATCGAAAGGAAAGGATGGAAGAAAAACCAAAAGCTGCTGGCAAACTATCTTCATAGAAAAGTTAAAACGGCCAAGTGTCATTTCAAATATTACTATATCGTTCCAATAAAAATCACCGCAGAAAACTGTAAAACAGGTCATCCCTTCCTTCCAGGGGTGAACGCCTTATCACTTTCAACCACAGGAGGAATAATGGTAGAAAATGTGTTCACTTCGCAGACAGTGTGAAATGCCTGCCATGCAACGGGCCTGGGTAGGTTGTGACAGGTACAACCTAGGTGCCCGTTCAGCAGGCAACTCTGTTTTCGAGTGGTGACTCCAAACTGAATTGCATTTTCTCAAAAGCTGACAGCCCGAAAGGTTCCCGCAGGAAGCCAGGACTGACACAGAGGCATCGTTTACCACCACTTTGCAGCAGAGCTAGGCCAAGTCTTTAGCAACCTTGCCTTCATCTGGTTTTACGTCCTTCCCTTTGTTCTCCCGCATACTTGGAGCACATCTTGTGTTTTCTTTGGCCACCCGGGGACAGGGACAAGCCTCGGAAAGTTTTATCACACCTCCTCGTTCCCTCACACTGCTGTACACAATGTCAGCATCAAAGCACCTGGGCACCAACAACATTTTGTCTCCTTTAAAGTAAATATTTTTCTAAAATGAAGAGCTGGCAAGAGCTTTCTGTTTGGAGCAGAAGGAGCCCAGCGTGGTTACGGGAAGGAGTGTGTCTCCAACATGAAAGGATCATAGCATTGTTAAGTGAATTCCTGGTGTCCTTTCCCGCAGCAAACCCCAGCAGGGCTGGCAGAAAATCTTGCTTTTTAGAGCAATGAACCGATGACCGATGGAAAAGCCATACAGTACAACTGCTGACTGCAGCTGCCTCAGCAATCCCAACTGTAAAGTCTCTTGATTCAAAAACTTTCTGCCTGGCCGGTGTGGCTCAGTGGTTGAGCAGTGGCCAATGAATTAGGAGGTTACTGGTTCGATTCCTGGTCGAGGCACATGCCCAGGTCATGGGCTTGATCCCCAGTAGGGGGCAAGCAGGAGGCAGCCAGTCGATGATTCTCTCTCATCACTGGTGTTTCTCTCTCTCTCTCTCCCTCTCCCTTCCTCCTGAAATCCATAAACAATGCTTTTTTAAAAAAGAACTTTCTAAAGGAGTGTTAGAAAGAGCAGAAAGCTGAGGACCACAACTTCACAGACTCGCTCCACTATACCTTTGAGTGGAGCCTTTTTTCCTTATGATTTAACAAGATCCTCGGATGCACTGGATACAAACCAAATTTACAAACACCTTACATGTACTCCCAGAAGCTATAACTGCCTAATTATCTACAGTGAGACTTTCTAAATTGGAATATTTTTACTACCTAAAAAAAGAAAATGAAACTATTCTCTTCATTGAACTTGCCTGCTCTTATGAAATTTTGAGTTAAAAATATAACATTCACCCTAACTGGTTTGGTTCAGTGAATAGAGTGTCAGCCTTTGGACCAAAAGGGTCTTGGGTTTCATTCCGGTCAAGGACACGCACCTTGGTTGCAGGCTCCTCCCCGGCCCAGACCCTGGTCAGGGCTCGTGCAAGAGGCAACCAATCGATATGTTTTCTCTCACATCAATGTTTCTCTCTGTCTTTCCCTCTCTCTTCCACTCTCTCTAAAAGTGAATGGAAAAATATCCTCAGGTGAGGATTAACAAATAAAATTTTTTTAAAAAATAACACTGAATACTAAATATGAACCTGGAATAATTGCTTAACATAAAACTGACATAAAAACAACCAGAAATAACCAATTTGGGTGTATTAAATGTGATTGGTTAATTTCCAGTTTTCATCCATTAGACCTGAGTTTTAGTAAATTTTTCCATGCAAAGTTCTTATAAGTACAAAGAAAACTTGTAAATAATGTTGGACACATTGAGAAATGCTTAAATATTATTAGCAGGTCACACATTTCTAGTTGAAGTCTAAAGTATAATGCATAACAAATCTTTGTTCAATGTAACTCCTTCTGTATTGATATAGTTAGATATATATAAATAATTAAATCTTCAAATCTTCTTTTGTAAAAGGGAATGAGGAGAGTTAAACAGATACCAACCTTGTGCATACATTCAAATTCAAATGATTGATATCATCTTCATTATCTTTTACAGCAACATCTAAGTCAAAGACTTTTTGACTTTGGATTGATTTTTGGTTTTTGGAAGACTCTGAATCTTTCACATTATAAAAAACATTTAGCTGCGAAAATAACAAATTAGCATTAATAACAAATTAGCAATAAATTGTTAGCAATAAATTACCATCATTATGTTTTCTAAATGTTAGGTAATGATTATCAACTACATTCACAAACTCCAACCTAGAAAAAAAATTAGTTTTACTAGCTAACAAAGTATCATTAGTAACAAACATTGTTATGAAAGTTTATAAGTAATGATTTTTAAAACTGAGAAAAGTTTGCTAACATTCCAAAACAAGTGTCATAGATTATCATGAATGATAGTCATGGGTATTGTTTTCTTCCAAAGAATGTAAAACATTCCCTATTGGGAAAAAGTGAAACTATTGCCAACTTTCTTTCTTTATTATTATTTTTTTCTTAATCCTCACTTTAGGGTATTTTTCCCCTTGAGTTTCAGAGAGTGAAAAGGGTTGGGGGAGGAGAGAGAGAAACATCTATTGCCAACTTTCTTAAGAGTGTCCACTAATTTCTGAACTCTGCTGCCCAACTGAAGTCATCTTTCACACACTGGAACCTTAGAAACTCTAAGATAAAACAAAGCTAAAACATCTAAGAGCCTTGGTGGGACAGAAACCTATTCAACTGCTCAGGATTCTTTTTTTATCATATATCTTTCAGAGATGATAAAATAAATAACGGTTTTCAAGTCAACTGTGTCTTTTCCAGCATATACATACTCTGCGTCCACCAATAATGTGAGGTGCTGTGTGGACACTGGGGAGTGTGAGAACCAGTGTTTTACTCAAATGAATCCTAAGATCAGAAGCTTGGGAAAATTCTCTAGGCCTGCCTCATGCCACGTTGAACTGGAATCTAAATTTTTTACCTCTTCCACATTTTTTGATCCAAGGTTCATAAGCCTTCCTATTGCTATGTAAGTTGTATTTTTTTTCTGCTTTATACTTAAATCACACACAGAGAGAACTAAACTCTAATACCCATTGTGGATTTACATACTATTAAAAATCCTTTCTCTGAGCCTTCATCTTTTAAACCTAAGATTTCCAACTTTTCATTCTGCCACTCCTAGCTCAAATCCTTCATCCCCTTGATCATTCTTGTTTTCTCACCCTGGAAATTCTCCAACTCTTCTTTAACTACAACTAAAATTATATAGAGTATTTTTGGAGCAGTTGAAGGAATGGTTTCATAAATTTGGAGAGATGATCGCTATTACTTTCATCATCCCTCTTCCAGTGGCATGCAATTGTCCTTTAAGAACCAACACCATCAGGACACAAACAAGGACTATTAAATTTGTCCTCTGGGACATAAGTAATGTTATCTATAACTAAGTATTAGGGTTTATGTTTGGCCCACAATAAAGTTCAACTGCTCACTCAGAGAACTTCAAAGGATCTTGCAGCTTATTTCCAACAGCTTAGCATTTTATTACTCAAAAGAAGTTAACATTTACTGTAAAACGGAGAGTTTTCTTTGCCATTCTTTTTCCAGGGCCCTTAGAAAAATATCAACTAGAGGAAATCTCAAGATTTATTCCAGCATGACCTTCTTTCTGCAGTGTTTTTCCCCATCATGCACAGTGCCTATTAGTCCCTACCTTTTGTTTTCTGCACGTTGATAAACACATAGGACTGATGAACATTCTGACCAGTAGGTGCCATATTTACCTCTGTGCCCTTCAAACCTCAAGTAAAAATCACTTGGCTTAAGGAATTTGTCTACATTTGGTTTATCGAGAATGAGTGCCAACCAATTTGGTGACTCAAATATACTTATATAATTTTCCAATTGTATCTAAAATATCCTGTGAATTTACTTTCAGATTTACTGTTTGCATTGAAAGATGGTTTAGGAATGAGAATTTTCACCCGGTCTTTGTTAGTAAAGACCAATACAAACTCTTCACTCTTTTTTCTTTCAATCTTTTTCATTGAATGCCATTCCTTTTAACTGTGATCATTTTTCCTTGATTTTTAAAAAACATTCACTTGTTCTGAGTATCAGAAAAATTAATCTTAGAATTATTTGGAAGTTCCCAAATTATACCTAAGCTTCTGCCTTACTTAGCAAGTGTTTCTGCTCTCTTGTCTAGAACAACTGTCCTGGTGTTTTAAAAAAGTCCATTTTCTGTATAATAGCCTCTCTTTTTTTACTTTCTCAGTAAATCTTTCAGGGTTTGTTTGGTTTGTTTTTTCTAATCAAGCACATAATCATTGTTGGTCCTATCACATATTATATTGGGTTTCTAATGAAATGATTTTTAGTTCCTATGATTTTAATGTATTATTTAGTATAATAATTATTTCATCCTATATTTCATCCTGTATTTTTCATGCTACTTTCATTTTATTCTAATCCCTATTGCATGATAAAAGGTAGATTTCTTTGGATTTTCTTCCTGTACCAGAACATTAACCATATCATGCTCTAGTACAGGACACATTTCCTATCTTTAGGTCAATTACTTGTAATACCATGTTGACCTTTATATTGTTTGATGAATATTAAGTTGTAAGTAAAATGCATATTTATTTATTAAGTCATAGCATTAAAATTCAGGGCTCTATTTTCATAAAATAATGTGGGAGTTCCCAACAAGTCACAGGAATAGTGTTGGAGGATTTTCGTCCTCACTTCAAGCTGTATATAATAACCAAGAAATATTTATCCAATAGATTATCAATCCATAGAGTTGCTGTCTATTCTCCAGCTAATAACGTCTCTAATAGTGATTTATCTTGCCTAACTCATATAAATAAATCATTAAGGATTCTATACATTGTCTAACTTAAAGATTTAGCAGTGCCCCAAACCAAAGAATTGTTATAACCAGTCATATTTAACCAAATATTATTACATACCTGACAAACAGCAAATCCATAACCATCTGCAGAAATATTAACTTCAATTGGCACTGCCACAGCAAGCTGAATAAAGGTGGGGGAAAGTGAATAAGGCGAATTTTCCATATCTAGGTCCTTCCAAGTAGCACAAGAGGTCAGTGTGATTCCTCATTAGGGATACAGTGTGAGCAATCTGTGGAAAGCTCTAAGAACTTTACAGGGCCTCACATATCAAAAGCTCTGGGTCAACCATGACAGAAGTGAAGTCAGAGAAAATAGCGCCCACTCTTCACACGCCCTCACCTCTGCCCTTTAGAAAAGCACATTAGCGCTAGGGGTAGGCCTGCCCTTCTTTAGGGGCTGATGAAAGACAAGAAACACGCCAGCTCTCTCCACTGACCTCCCTTAGTCAGTGCCTAATCCCTTGGTCATGCTGGGCACCCAGTGACACATCATCATTGCCTATGACTAAGGTTATTCGTTCTTTTCCTTTGCCATAGCCCCTCTTCCTCAGTTTCCAGCCTTGAAATTATTACTTTCATCCATTACCCTCAAGTTCCCACAAGGTTACCCAGGGAGATAAGGTTAGGGTCTAGCATAGGCCTTTATTCCATATCAAAGTAAGAATTCTATTACTGGTTTTATCAATTCTCTAATGAGGGCAGGTGGGGCAGCTGAAAAGAACATGGTCTTTGAAACCATGGGTTCAAGTCAGAGCTCTACTGTTGTTAGTAGCATGATCTTGAGCAAGTTCTTAACCTCTCTCAGCCTCAGTTTTATCATGAGTACAATAGGGATAAAAGTAAGAAAATATCTGCTGGATGGAACTTACTTCTTAGTGCTGGTTTGAGAAATAAGTGCAGTAGCACATGTAAAGAAATTGAGCACGATTCCTGCAAAGAATAGTATCTCAATGGGTGTTCATTCTGGTCCCAATATGTCAGTGCCCACGTTTTCTCCTTTTCAAAATTCCCATCCCCTCCTCCCTTCCCCAGCTCAGCAAATTCAACCAAAGGAGTGTGCTCCTTCCTCCCAGTCGCTACAGGGCTCTGGGAACAAGTCTTTGTTGAAGTCAATAGAACGGAGTTAAAACCATTTTCTACCCTACGGAGTCACCTGCACAGAATTTTAAATAACCACCCCTTGTCCACACCTCTGCCGACTGGAGGATAAAGCGGTTCTGTGTGTCAATCAGAAACTTTACAGGACTTGGTGCCACAGGCCCCGTTATGGTCACTTGCATATGTGTCCCTTCTGTGTTCATCAGGGCTGCAAATTCAGACAGGGCCTTCAAGGCCACAATGGTGTCCTGTTGAGAAAAGAAAACCATGTGTGTATATAAGTATACATCAAGGTCTTCCAAGGGTAAATACAGTAATGTTTAGGAACCCCGCTATACAGTCATCCCCCTTCCCTGAGAGTGGAAGTCTCCTTTATTCATCTTTGAATCTCCTTGAGAGGCTCAGAAAATATCGGCTGGACAGAACTCACCATCTACAATATCAGTTACCACAGATGGGAAAATGGCTAATACAGACGGGGAACTAATTTATTCCCTATAAATATCAGAGGCGATGTTTACATCCATGATGAGAAAAAGTTAAAATGAGTAATTTAAACCTTTGGCTTAAGTTACTTAACTTTTAAACTGCTAAGTAATTTGATGAAGTCATGAAAAAAAAGCAACTACATACTTCCTAAAGCTATGGATGGGTGGATGGATGGATGGATGGATGGATAATAAATTTAAAACTGTCATGACTGCCCTAGCTGGTTTTGCTCAATGGATAGCGCGTCGGCTGCGGACTGAAGGGTCCCAGGTTCGATTCCGGCCAAGGGCACATGCCTGGGTTGCAGGCTCGATCCCCAGTAGGGGGCGTGCAGGAGGCAGCCTAGCAATGATTCTCTCATCATTGATGTTTCTATCTCTCTCTCCCTCCCCCTTCCTCTCTAAAATCAATAAAATATATTGAAAAAAATAAATAAATAAAAACTGTCATGACTCACCTGGGTAGATACAAAACCTCCCAAGCTGTTTCTTTGCCTGCTCAGCCACCTCATAATTGCGATTCCATCAGAAATCCGATTCTGCAGGAAGTGTGAGTGCAGCGCATAGGCTGCGACTTCGATATCGAGGGATCTGGGCTGCCAGGACTCAGAAAGTCCAGACGCTGATGACACCCAGAATAGCATGTCTCCTGCAAGAGAAAAGTAATGCCAGAATGACCAATGACAGAAAACCTACATTTTATACCATTAAATATCCTTACACTGGTCCAAGTTCTAGTTGGCTAACATAAAATGACTTCTATTGCTTTATATGTATATATGTATGCCAAATAAAACATGTATATTTAAACACACACATGCATGCACAGATATAAACATGTACTTATACGTCACTTTTTAAACTATTGAAACATAAATTTTCATTCTTTCCCTATTGGTTATATGTGAGGATGTTTTGATGAAAATATTTTCCCAAAAGATATCCATATGTTTGGCTCTAGACTCAATAGCTATAAATAAAAGGAAAAAAACATACTATATTCCAGAAAATAATGTACATAACTTTTCTGAACAGGCCATCACAAAAATATTTTAGAATACATTGGAAAGAACCCTGCTCTGGGAATCAGCCATTAACCAGCTCTAATGTTCTGGGAAACCTCTCCTTCATTATCTGAAAGTTGGTGTTATAAGTTCAAAATCCAAGCCCCCAAGAAAAAAATGAGGGACCCTGGCCAACTCAACAATCTTCCTAGAGATATTCCTACGAGCCCCTGGAGGAGCATCCTATTTGGTGCCCCCCCCTCAAATATTACTGTTTAGATGATGATTACACTTGGGTGGAATGTGTAATAACTGCCAAGCAGAGAAGAAGAAACGTCAAGGACTGCTTCAGCCTCTGTGCAATAATCTTTATCCCCAGCACAACAATAGGTGATAAGGATTCAATCTGTTACAGCCTCAGAAGTCTCAAAATACTTTCTACAGTTATCCCTTCTTGAATCGACAGAGCTTTGAAACAGCTCTGTTTCAGCTCACTCATCCCCATATCTATCTATCTAACTACACATTCACAACCGCCTGCACACACACACACACACACACACCCTGAATCCCTGACTGTAGAGGCCATTTGGGAAGTGACAACATCTGTAGGTTTTGCCCTGCTGTAGCCCCTAAATCAGCGGTTCTCAACCTGCGGGTTGCGACCCCTTTGGGGGTCAAACAACCCTTTCACAGGGGTCGCCTAAGACCATCAGGAAAACACATATATAATCACATACTGTTTTTGTGATTAATCACCATGCTTTAATTATGTTCAATTTGTAACAATGAAAGTACATCCTGCATATCAGATATTTACATTACGATTCATAACAGTAGCAAAATTACAGTTATGAAGTAGCAACGAAAATAATTTTATGGTTGGGGGTCACCACAACATGAGGAACTGTATTAAAGGGTCGTGGCATTAGGAAGGTTGAGAACCACTGCTCTAAATAGTCCCCATTCAAAAATATGTATATTTTTGAATGGGGACTATATATACTAAAAAATACATATATATTCAAAAATATATATATCACTAACAGCATTTTTCTGGCATTTGTGTTTCTATTAATTACCATTGTGGTTCCCATTTTTAAACATGGACCATGCAGCAAGCACTGTGCATTATCTCATTTAATCTTCACAGCAACCCTTAAGTTGGTGTCACTCCAATTTTACAGTTCAGAATACTGCAGCTCACAAAGGGGAGTAGCAGAGGCAGAATTTGAACCCAAATCTCTCATAAACCAAGGTCTTAAAAACCACTCAAGGCCACCAAACCAGAAATGGTATCAGAAAACTACAAGGGTAACTGACATCTGGTAGAATGTATCCTAAAGAAGAAACTACCCACGCCCTGAAATTCTCTGAAACACTCTTGGGGAGAGTAGAAGCAACATGACCATGTCATAATCCTCTGTGCTTCATGCTTCATCCCATTTAGAAGATGTAAATTAATCAACTTCATATCTGGCTTACAAAACTCTCTCACATAATTTATATATCTCCTAGTGCCCAACAGTCTAACAACCTCCAATAGGACCTGCGTGTTACCCCCTTGTTTGAAATATATTTTTATTGTTGATAGTATTATAGATATCTCCCATCCCACCCCCTCCCTGTACTCCCCTCCACCTAGGCCCTGCTCACCCCACCCCCAGGGTCTTCAGTACCCCACTGCTCGTGTCCATGGGCTACGCATATACCTTCTAGTTCTGCTCTCTGAGTCAGGATATCCAAAGCTTCCGCGGCTTTAGGGCTCCCCAGGATGGACAGCGCATACGTCGTAAGAGCCAGAGTATAATTGTCTGGGATTCCTCTGAGGAACTCAGACTCCAAAAACTTGATAGAGTTTTTCACATCAAGATGAGGCTTGAAAGAAAAAAATATATATTTTACCATTCAAAAGAACCCCAAAAGTATTTTCAAGCATTTATTCAAAAAATAATTTCAGCGTCCAGGAAGCACCTGACTTTTGACCTAGGCAATGGGAATCAACAATGATCATTGACATTCATTGATTTGCCATGTGTTTAAACCATAACACTACTTTTCCGTTTTTGAAAGTAAACAGGCACCGTGCCTTACAGGAAATAAAAAGTAGAACTTTTTGCCAGGGTTTCTCCCGTTGGATATCATGAATTCAGATTCAAGCATACAATATAGTTAAAGAAAGATACTTCTCATATGTAATCTCAGGGGTTGAAGCTCTAAATTCAGGGGAAAGTTTCTCTTCTGCACACCTAGACCTGGGCTAGGAAAATAGTAGGAGCTTAATATAGAGAATGGCTGGTTTTGATCAGGTGAAATGCAGTCGGCATTAAGCAGTAAAGGCATCAATCATTGAGACAGTTCTGGAGCGAAATTAAGCTCATTAGCATAACTTTCCACGTACACTCATTCTCAACCAGACATCCATGCCCATTTAACACGCTTTTTAGAGTGTGGGTGTACTTTGTACTAAATGAGCAGACACTGTAATTGCTCCATAATATTTTAGAAATAAAAAAACCCTTCACAACCTAAATTTAATAAAAAGCACTCCCAAATTCTGAAGAATTGTCTGTCCCCTAAGAAATTAACCTTTCCAACAATAAAATAGGAATTGACTTAGCTTACCAACAGCAAGTACAACAACATTTATACTGGAAAGCATTTTTAGAATTCTCCTAGTTACTCTGAGAAAGTGGGTCAATATTTTTATTTTCAGATTTTGGAATGTGGTCACAAATGCAAAGCAAAAGGATGCCCAAATTCATACTTCAAATGTGATATAAAATACAAAATTCCCTAAGTTTCCAGACACATATTGGACCCATCCAAACCTACCTCTCCTGTGATTCCCCACCCATCATTTATGAAATCAAAGATGAAATACCTGATACTTTCTATAACCCAGGAGAGAAGTCACAATATAAGCTGTAAGCGTTACTGGACTTTTATTGCCACCTTGAAGCTCACTGTGGATCACTCTTCCTGGCTCCCAAAATTCACCATTGGATTTCTGACGTCCTTTGAGCCATGTATATATTCTGCGTAACACATTCTGATCAATATCTATGTAATGATCAGCTTCAAGGAAACATCGTAAAACAAAGGCTGACAACCTTGGGGAAAAGGGGTGGAGGGAAATGACATAAAATACAATTAATAAAGTCCTCCAAATAACGCTGAGCGAGAAAACACCAACAATAGCAACACTTTTTTCCCCATCAGAAGAGTCACCCCAGGGAGACTCCCCGAAGAAGAAACAAAGGGAAGGACACAACAAGGAGGTAACACGAACAACGCCGCCTCCCTGGTAGACCTAGTTCCCACTTGAGTGTGATCAAGAAATTTCAGGTCAACTCACATCATCTCAGACTTAGAAAGGAATTTAGAAATCATCTAATACAGACTCATTATTTGATAGATTGAGAATTTGACATTCCAAGAGAGTTAAATAAATTGTCCAAGATTACTCATCTTTGGACTGTTCTGGGTATTTACCAAGGATGAACTTATTACATACTTCTCTCAGCCCTAAAGATATGAATAAAGTATATATAGGTCACAAACTGCCATACTTTTAAGTAGAGAAAATTGATATTTTCTTTCCCATAGGACAGGAGGCAGCAAATTAAAGTCTATGGGCTAAATCTGTTGGGCTAGGTCTGGTCCTTGGGCCAAATACAGCAGAGTCTGTTTTGGGTGTTGTTGGGTTTTTTTACCTCTCCCCACTCCATCCTCCATCTAAAAATTTGTTTTAAAGATATAAAAGGAAAAAGAGAGGAATGAGAGGAGAGGGAAGAATATACTGCAGAGACACCATGTGGCCTATAATGCCTAACATACTTACTCTCTGAACCTTTACAGAAAAAGCTGGCTGATCCCCGCTACAGAACACTAAGTATTGAGGTGAAAAGAATGTCAAGCAATAAAACACTGAAACCTTTCTATTTTTGGATCTATATCCTGACTCATGCCAAAAGAAAATTTGAACCAGATCTGTTTCATCCTATAAAAGATTTAGTGTGGTAAATATTATTAATATTCAATAATATCCAGTTCCCTTTTACTTTCAGGATACAGAGGAATTCACTTTCTTGCCTCCCTGAAGTGAAACATGACCATGTGACCAGCTTTGATAATGATAAAGTGAAAAGAAATGGTACACCCAGGCTGAAGCATCCAATTGCCAGAGCTGCATATTAAAGCCTGAAGCTTCCCGGTGAGGTGAGATGGTGGCAGCTGAAGCATAGACTGCAGTGCCCCCTGCTGGCCCATAGTGGAAATGCAGCATGTGAAAGAAAACCTCTTGTAAATACTGTAAGCTACTGAGATTTAAGGGGTGGTTACCATAGCGTGCCCTGTCCAACCCAACTGATACAGTCAGTCTTTTTCTGAGTGAAATATAGAATTGAAGATAGTAAGGAAAGAGCAAGGAGAGAGAGCAATCATCCAAAATCAGCCATGCAGAGATTCCATTCTGGAAGAAACTCTAGATACTCATTACTTAATCCCACACACATAAAAATAACGTTAAACAAACTACACTGACTGCCTTAACAAAAAATTCATGTTGATCATATAAATTAAAGAAAAAATTATGTCATAATCACCCGGTATTTCTAACTGAATTTTCTTGTCAGCCCTACCATCATCGTGTGGTATTTTTATTTTTTGCTTTTTCCAAAAGAGGACTTATGACCTATCTTTTCTACACAAAAACACTTGCTTTGTTAGTGTTTTAAAATCATATTTAAAAGGAGAATCTCTTTTAAAGCCAGGCTATGGGGAAAACAGCCTCAGAGCCTATATATACAACACATCTACCAATTTCATGGCCATCGTGACCTAGTGAGGGCCCATTCCATGACAAGGATTTGCTCTGTTAGCAAGAACACTTACCAAGTGCTCCCAGAAGGGTCATCGTTCCCAAAGGCACTGAAAGAGCCATCTTCCCTTTGATAGAGAAGTTCTCTCTGGTAACCTGAAGACACCAAAATAGATCATCAATGTAATCAACTTGCAATGATTGGCAGTTTCTAATCATGTTTTCATACCGAGGAAACACGGGTAGAGAATAGGAAAGAAGACGAATTCAAATCAGCAACTAATATAAAATATTTTCCACGTTAAGTCCTGTGGAAAATGTAAAACACCAGCATTTTTTCAGCAGAATGCAAAAAATAACAACTGTGATATCCCCAAATTAAAGTAAATTCAGAAGAATACTATAACATAGACAATAATTCTAGCCATTCAAAAGCAAGCTAACTGAAGGCAGAGTTTTCTTTAACTCTGCAGTTTCCAGTACAATGCTTTCAATACTGAGTCATCAAAAACTGCTGGATAGCTAAGAAAAAAGTCTTAAAGTTTAAAGCTAAAACAGAAAATAAAAATGCTTTCTAGTTTTAGACCAGCAACAGAGGGATTTGGAGAAAGGGAGAATTATTAAATAATCGAAGACAATGCCTCTAAAATTTTTTTGCCGTGGCCAACTGAGGTAAATCAGAGACCAATTGGTCTGCTCAATCCTAAGTTCTCACTTAAGAAAAAACAACTTGATGGTGGTAATGAAGTCTCACTATAGAAGTAAATTGGGGAGGGGGTTAAGGTTCATGTGTCTGTTTTAATTAAAACAGATGTTTCATGTTTGCAAATAAATGGTTGCAAAAAAGAGGCACATGTTTCATAGCTGCCGAGCGAAATCATAGGCCCAAAACTAAAGACCCACCAAACAACCACAACAGACTAACTTGCTAAACATGAAATTAAAATAGCAATAATTTATCATTAAATATCAAGCATGAGCAACAGCCAAAAACATTTCCAACTCCAGGCATTATCAATGATTCTCTAATAACCAAGAATTCTTCCTGGAAATGGCAGGATTCCACCACAGGCAGGGGAGGGCACGCACTATGACCTTGCAGCGTCCATGTAGAGCCCAGCAACCATGAACATTTGTAATAAGTTGATCTTAATCCCTAGTGAAGTCTAGTAATAAAAATTTTTACTTTATAAACACCACATTTTAGAAGCATCAATAATTATAGTTATTCATATCTGAGTAACAAAACATAAGCATTAATGTTTTTAAAGTACAGTTAACCTGCTCTCGCCATGTCCCAAATTTTTCTCCATGAGTCTTTCCACAAGAAACCCTAGATCTGAGCAGCTGATTTAAACTACCGTAAGACAAAGCATTCAGAAAACAAGACACTGTCTCATGGTGATCTTTAAGACCTATGGTAAAAGAAATAAAGATACCATTTAAATGATGGCAGAATTTTGCTTAATCTGAAGAAGGGGATATTGGGTTATAATTTATATGTTTAAAACTAAAATATTGTGGCACGGTAATTAAAGAGCCAACCTTTATCCAACACTGATTATGTGTCAGGAACTGCTCAAAGCCCTTTCAGGACCAAGACAATCCTCAGGACAACCCGATGAGGTAGATGCCATTAGTATCCCTTTTCAAAGATGATAAAACTGGAACTTGGATACACCATGTGCAAGGTCACACAGCTGGTGGGTATTGGAGATAGGCCTTAGCCAAGATCTCTTTGTGCAACTGCTGTTTCCTATTAATTCAGAGACCTCTTTCAATGACTGATGTATGAAAAGTCCTTAGCACAGCACTTTTTCCAGGGCGAGCTCTCAATAAGCAACAGATATCATTTCAACCGCCCAGTTATTTTTCAAAATTGGTCAATCTGACTACAAAACACTTTATTTTAAATTTTTCATGGCAAACACACTATTAGCAAAGTTAAAAGACAGGTGATGAACTAGAAGAAAATATTTGCAGCCTGTAAGAGAAACAAATGGCTAATATCCCTAATAACAAATTTTATGTATATGTTTATATATAATTACAATGTATTTATTTATATGTATATATAGAACATTTTTAAATTTAAAAGGGAAAATTTTTAGATCCCTTATAGGGAAAAAAATGAATAAAAGACAAGAACAGACATTTTATAAAAAACAAAGAAAGATGGACCTTAATATGTGAAAAATATTCATCTTCATAATAAGCGAAATGCAAATTAAAGCTACACTGAGGTACCATTTCTCATCCATCACATTAGCAAAGATTCAAAAGCTTGACCATTCATTCTGTCCGGGAGGCTGTAAGGAGACCAGGGTCCTCATCATTGCTGGGGGGGGATTCAAAATGGTACAACTCCTGTGTAGGAAAACGTCTATACTTTGTAACCCAATAATCCTACTTCTAAGAACCCATCCTAAAGATACACCTCCAACAATATAGACATATTCATACAAAAGTTTATTCATTGAAGCTTTATTTGTAATTGCAAATATATTGGAAATGACCTAAATGCCCCCAAATTAGACTCTGGTTAAACACAATGCAGTACATCCTCACAATGCAGTACTATGCAGCTGTGAAAAAAGAACGGGGGCTATTTCTCTGAACTTATGTGTAGTAATTTGCCGGATATATTATTAAGTGAAAAAGGCGAAGTCTAAAATAGCATGTATAGCATATAACTTTTTGTGTAAGAAAAAGAACCAAGAAAACATATGCGTAGATGTTCATTTCTGCAGAAAGAGAAAGAAACTAGAAACTAATGAAGTAAGTTACCTACAAGGATAGGGAGAAGGGATACAAGAGTTACATATACCTTTGCATATACCTTTTAGAACAGGTTTGACTTTTGGAAGAATTGTTCTACATATTCAAAAAATCAAATAAGAATGAAAAAAAGTTAAATTTTTGGGGAAAAAAACACAGCAAAAAATCTCTTCCTTTTTCAGAGCTAGTCAGGGATCACAGAGAAGCAGAATAATGGTCTAATATTCACAAAAGAAATTAGCAAAAGAGTCCAAGACATTCTCCCTCGATTTCCAATTCAAGACTAAATCTACCAGACTGTGAGTGAACTCAGTCTGGCAGAGGAGAAGGGAGGGGAGAGGAGGAGAGGGAGGAGAGGAGAGGAGAAAGAAGAGGAAAAGAGAAGAGGACAAAGAAAAGGAAAGGTACAGGGCCCTCCATCACTACAGGAGCTGCTCCTGTGAAAGGAAGGACCCACATGGAGAAGAAGACCATGTGACTCCAAGCCCCAAATCACATCAACAACTGCAGTTCCAAGTCTGAGTTATTGTAAAACCAGTCAGAGAGATGAGCTCATGGAGATGAGATCAGTGCTTATGGAAATTACCCCTCAGGTGGCTGACCTCCAGCAGTCCCCATTAATATCAACAACTAGCACCATTCTTCCACCAGGGGCAGCCAGCCCAGAGGAGGGGGGTGGGGGCGGTGAGGACTCGCGGACAATCTCCTTTTGGGGAGTGCATTTCTTGAGCTGGTTTAGATAAAACAGAAAAGCTAAACCACCAGCCCTGCTCCCAATGGTAAAATAGAGCAGAGAATCAGAACCTAAAGAGAGCAGCTCACATGGCTCTCCTGGTAGGAGTCTCCTGTGATGTTCCCTTCCTCTTCCTAAACCCTCTCTGCATCCTTAAAGAGCCCTCGGCTCCTCCTCCTCCAAATCACCCATCCCAGAAGCAGAAATGACATTGTTGGCTCAGCTGTAATGTCTATCAATGCAATTCAATGTTCTGTGTAGTCACCTAGGTTGGAGACGTTTCATCATGATAGGTGAGAAAGGCAAAAGCATGGTGTTCTCCAAAAGTTTATGAGGAAATAAGAGTACAGCCTTTAAGTTCATAGTTTTATGACTAGTCCTTGAGTTAGAAAGTAATAGTACCGTATAACCAGAATTACCAGACACTCTGACAATTAAAATACAGAAGAAGTCCAGAGGTCCACATGAACGGTTCCTTATTAAGGGCCAGAAAAGATACTTATTGGGCCATGACTTTTCTTTGAAATAGCCACAAATGTAAAATATTTACAATTTATCATGATAAATATGAAAGCACTGTGCATAGAAACACACAGAAAAGCAACGTTCTAACCATAATTTAATGTGGTTTACCTCAAGTGTCAAAATTGCATACAAAAATTAAAAGGGGTAAAATCCGCTCCCTGTGACTGTATCAATCACTTCCTGTGGTTTAAAAAAAAAAAAGAGCTGGTGAAAATATCCTCTGTACTAAAAGATAAGTAGTCATAATCAACTCCCTTCCTCTCTGTGACATGAAATGGAAGATGAGAACTTTACCAGGTTTTTCAGTAACATCTCCACCATTGCCCCTGGCCATTCTTGTGATGACCAAATGCAGCATCAGACTTCTGAAACCTACTTTCCCCCTGTTTTTATTTCAACAGAGAAAACATAATGTGTTTTCAACTAAGCCCAGTCTGAGTCTCACTTGAAAATCGAGCTGCAGGCACCAGGATTTAAATATTTGAGGAAAACAAGTGTCTTCAATCTCTAATTAACAGATTCAGGTCCTTATCAAAAACAGCTTTCATTTTACGGTTCTATTTTTCTTTTGACAGCAAAAGACACTTCATTCAATGATGTAGCTGTTGTTTTGGATAAAAAACAATGGGTCAGGTTACAGGGCTCTTGGGCCAAGCATGATTTAAGTAAAACAATGCGCTGTTCATAAATGACATTTAAGTAATATAATCATGACTCATGCCAAAGCCACTTTAATTTCGTAAAAAATAAAAACAACAACGGTATATTTAAAGAACTTTGGCAAATGTGATGGCAAAAGAAAAAACAGAGTCTCTGAAATGAGACGCTGATTTCATAATGAAAATCATTATACCAAGAAGTTTCTGTCCTCCACTTTGAAATGTGATTCAGTTCAGCGTGTGAAATGGTGCATGTAGGGGCGCTCCACTGTACCGACTTCCATCAGCCACTTCACCAGCTCAAAAGGCGAAACACTGAAACCATTGGTCCCAATTCCTAGCTGACGGGAACCTGCCTGCAGTGTTGACAAATAACTACTGCATTGTGGGAGAACTTGAGAGATCGTCTAGATCCAGTCTCCACATTAGGATGGTGAACCTAAGGCCCAAAAAAGTCAATATTGATAGTAATGTGTTCATCCATCCTGCATTTATTGAAGTGCCAAGATAGGGCTACAGTGGAGAAGATACTAAACATGGTCCCCACTGCCAGGGAGCTTACCTTCTAGTGCAGGAGACAGTTGGATTATAAAAAGAATGAAAATTGCAGGGAGAGGAACTGCGAAAGCATTTCCCTGTGTTTGGAGGGTCCACCCATGTCCCTTTCAAACCCTGGTGCTTTCGGACATTTAAAAAAAGAATAAAAATTAAAAATAAAAAGGGGGGGTGGGAGATATCTGTAATACTATCAACAATAAAAATATATTAAAAATAAAAATAAATAAAGCCAGCCAACGTAGCTCAGTGGCTGAGCACTGACCCATGAACCAGGAGGTCACCGTTTGATTAACAGTCAGGGTACATGCCCGGTTTGCAGGCTCGATCTCCAGCAGGGGGCATGCAGGAGGCAGCCGAGCGATGATTCTCATCATTGATGTTTATCTCTCTCTCTCCCTCTTCCTTCTTCTCTGAAATCAATAAAAATGTATTTAAATATGTTTTAAAATAAAAAAGCAAGATAATTTTAAATGTTATGCGGTGAATAAAATGAAATGGGATAATGTAAGTGAGAATTAATAAATGGTCAGGAAAGGCCACTCGGAGGAAAACACTACATGAGTGATGAGAAGGAGCCGGCCACAGGAGGATCGGGAGGAAGAGCCTCCCAGAAGGAGAACAAGTTTGAAGGCTCTGAAGCTCCAGGCGGGGAGCCAGACGGGGCAGCATCAGACAAGGTGGAAGGTGGAGGCCAGGCCGTTCAGTCGGGGCCTTGTAGGATGAGGCCGGGAACCCACTGGAGAATTTTAAGCAAGTCAGTGACATGATTTTGACAATTTCAAAAGTTCCCTTTTATAATATGTGGAGACGGTGAGCACAGAAGCAGAGAATCTATGAGCCCCTGGAGTGGTCCATGGTGGCATATGAATGGGAGAACTAGCCATGGGATGGACAGAGGGGAAGAAGCTCCCATTTGTTTTTAGAGGGAGAATGGACCAGATTTACTTGTGGACTTTAAACCCTAACTCCCTAGCTAGATGCAACTGACTGCTGCTACAATATATCATGTCGTCTTCACAACAGTCTAGTTCCCACATACTTTCCTCTCGGAACCAACAAATTAAATTTTGAATACAAGTCAGAATCTTGTGTTCTCAAGGTTAAATTATGACCATTTCAAATACATTTTACTCATCTCCTTAAATATAACCATTATTGCAATGTGCAAAGATCTCCTTTGTTTTTAGCCTGGCACACACTATTATACCACAGAGAGCACTTGGAGTTCAAATCCCAGCTCTGCCACTCACTTGCTATAGGACCCTGGGCAAGTCAGTTAACTTTTCTGTGCCTCAGTTTCCTCATCTGTAAAAACAGGAGGATACTACTAATTATGAGCATTAACTGAGATATTAGATGTAAAGTGTTTAGAACACTGCCTGCCACATAGTAAGCACTCAACTAATGGTCGCGGTTGGTATTAGCAAGTGGCAGACACAAAGCATCTGGTGTCTACAAACAGTATGAGCCTCTCAAGGAGTCAGGGTAGAGTCACCACTGGTGTGCCCTTTGCTGGGGGTCAAGCAGGGCCTCCCCGGACAAAGATTTCTCTCCTCACCATCTGCTCGACATTTTATTTGCACTGAGAAGGTCCCCACCTGGGACACCACCTGTGTGTATGTCCAGACTCTTCACTGAACAGGGAATTCCATGAGCAGAAAGGCCCTGACTTCCTCTGTCCCCAGCACTAGGAAGGACTAAATGTTTAATGAATAAGTGAACATTCATTCCTTTACCCAGCTTTAAATTCCATGTCCCTTATTAAAATACAAACCCCTCCCAAAACCAAACCTTTAACAAACAACTGAGCAGCAATCAGAAAAACAATGAGCTGAAGACTCATACTCCCAGCACATTTCAGCACCATCTACTGAGTCCCACGATCACATAGCAAAGACACAATCTGTCTATTTTGAAAAATGGTCTAGAGTGAACTCTGCCTTAAAAAAATAATAATAAAAATAAAAGTATGGCCATAGCTGGTTTGGCTCAGTGGATAGAGCGTCGGCCTGCGGACTGAAGGGTCCCAGGTTCGATTCCGGTCAAGAGCACATGCCTGGGTTGCAGGCTTGATCCCTGGTGGGGGACATGCAGGAGGCAGCCAATCAATGATTCTCTCTCATCATTGATGTTTCTATCTCTCTTTCCCTCTCCCTTTCTCTCTGAAATCAATAAAGATATATTTAAAAATAAATAAATAAATAAAATAAAAGTATGTTTCTAAAATGCTTACCTTGAACGGGGACATGTGTAATACTTTCAACAATAAAGATTTAAAAATAAAATAAAATGAAATGATTTAAAAATAAAATAAAATGAAATGCTTACCTTGTCTCATAAATGAAAGGGCTTTTTCTTTTAAACTCTCCAAAACATAAATATTTGGAGCAAAATTTATCATGTTCTGTTCACCACAGCCATAAGGCATCTGAATCAATGAGGCTAAGCCACTGATGGAAGAGCCAAGAATATCTCCTGAAAGCACAAGATGGAAACACATTCAGCAAATACTCCATACCTGCACCTGTTGGCGGCGAACAGACTTCCACATCTGGTGCTCAGAACAGAGTAGAAAATTTACATCAAGTGTTTAGGATGACTGCTCAAATACGTGATAATACAGTGATACTGAACTTGCAGATTACATGACAGATTAGGACACCTTTATCTCAGCTAAAGATATAGGCATACATTAGGCAACAAAATAAGTTTAAAAATAATTGTTGAACAAAAAAGGCAAGAATTAACCATAGCAAACCATCATTCTTCTATAGGAAAGAAATGATTTTTTAATTAATATTCTTTACATAAATAGAACTCCATTCTGATTTCTTACTAATACACTACAAATACTAGAGAAATAATTTTTTAAAAGATAGAAATTGTAATATTTTTCAATGTGCTTTATTTAAGTAACAACAAAGTAGAACAAATAGAAGCATTTCCATGACTTTCAGGATCAAAAAGGTTAGAAATACTCTTTAAAGATAGTAATAGAAAATTAAACAAAATGTAATTAAAAGACTTCTCTACCCACATTCTAACACCATGACTCAGAAAAATAAGTAGAAATTCAGAAATATAGAGGTTGAGTTCTAATTCTGCCCCCACTGAGGTTGAGCTATATGGAGAAGAATATTCTTCTGTGTAGTTTAGAAACTTATACCATTTCAAGTCCAAATACTTAGTGAAAATCCGATCCTTTAAAAAAATGAATCCTAAAAGAGAGGAAGAACTCTTTCATATGAGTAGGCTGCAGTCACACTACCATATGATATCAAACTTCATATGTTAACTCAAATATCTAAATAAAGGTTATATTATTACCACTGCAGGTTCTGTTTCTAATATTCAGAGTGAACATAAACTTAGACTCTCAAAATTCAAAGAGCAAGCTGATATTCAAACTTTCTGGGCTACCAAATAGTCTTTTTAAAATAAAAACCATATAAAAATAAAACTTGAGCCCTGACCGGTTTGGCTCAGTGGATAGAGCATTGGCCTGCAGACTGAAGGGTCCCAGGTTTGATTCCAGTCAAGGGCATGTACCTTGGTTGCGGGCACATCCCCAGTAGGGGGTGTTCAGGGGACAGCTGATCGAGGTTTCTCTCTCATCGATGTTTCTAACTATCTCTCTCCCTTCCTCTCTATAAAAAATCAATAAAATATATTTTAAAAATAAATAAATAAAATAAAACTTGAAAGACCATTCTTTACCACAAGCTTAAAAAGTAAATTTCAGAGCACTTCAATGACCCTAGATAGATTCATTCCAATGTAAGGGGTGATGATATACATTTAAAATTCAAGGCTCTTGCCCTAGCTGGTTTGGCTCAGTGGATAGAGCATCTGCCTGTGGACAGAAGGGTCCCAAGTTTGATTCTTGGTCAAGGGCACATGCAGGAGGCAGCCAATCAATGATTCTCTGCCATCATTGATGTGTCTATCTCTCTCTCCTTCTCCCTTCCTCTCTGGAATCAATGCAAATATATTTTTAAAATAAAAATAGATAAAATAAATAAAATTCAAGGCTCTTCCCTTTGTGTGCATATGTGGACTGCATCCTCCCTGCATCCCCACACTGCAGGAGATGCCTATGCAGAACTTATTCCCCTAAACAAAGAGTTTATTTAATTCTTTTTAAAGAGTTATATCTGCCCTAGCCAGTTTGGCTCAGTGGATAGAGTGTCGGCCTGGTAACTGAAGGGTCCCAGGTTCAACTCCAGTCAAGGGCATAAGCCTGGGTTGCGGGCTCAATCCCCAGTAGGGGGTATGCAGGAGGCAGCCGATCAATGGTTCTCTCTCATCATTGATGTTTCCATCTCTCTCTCCCTCTCCCTTCCTCTCTGAAATCAATAAAAATATTTTTTAAAAAAAGAGTTATATCTAAGGCTCCAAAGAAAGTCCTCTATAAAGGAATTGGTTACTTGGGGTTATAAAAAAAAGCATTACACCTGCAGATGAGATGTAAAAGAACCTCTGAGAAAGTGCCTCAGGTCCTAACACCTTGAAAACTGAACCATTTTGATGTCATTAATCTAAACATTTCCTTCAATTTGTTAGAAAGCACAACTATATAAACAAAGTACAAAAGTCAGTACAAAAGTACTTTTCGGGCACCAGCAGGAGATGAGGAGAGGATGCCTACAGTCAGTGGGTAGCTTCCTACTATAAAGGTGGCTTGTGTCCTGCACAGACAGCTCCCCTAAGCAGTAGCCCTCAACCTCTGGTGGTCAGAATATACCTACCCTAGCCTTAGCCCAAGAGATTCTGACTGAGGAGGTTGGGAGTAGAGCCCAGAGATTTGTGTTTTTACAACACGCCATAGAAGATTCTGCTATTTGTTGGGACTTGGGAGCCACAGAAGCCAGAAGTTCTGTTCGTAGAAATAGCCACCCCCTGCAGCCACATTATAATGGGGACTTACTGCTCAAAAGTAATCTGCACATCAGATGTATCAGCATTAGCTGGGAGCTTGTCAGAAATGCGGAATCCCAGGTCCAGCCCAAGCCCACTAAGCCAGAATCTGCCCTTAAGCGAGAACCCCCAGGTGATTCCTGTGCACATTGAACACTGAGAAGAACTGGTCTAGGACACATAGCTTGCTAGTCTGCCTTTCTATTGTAATCTTGCTAGCCTTTCTATTTGGTACCAACTGAAAACTTTTTGCAACCTCTTTGCATTTTGACTAAATAAGAAAATGTGGTATGTCTACAAAGAGATGAAAACATATATTATCATGTACAAATAAACCAGTAGTGATGATGATACACTCTGTTCTTACCAACCACAGTGATCTGAACTCTTTCACTGCCATTCACTGTATTGGGAGGAAAGGAGAAAGTCAATGCTTTCTGCGTAGTTTTCAGCCTCTTGTTCAAGTCCAACAAGACGGATTGTGAATAGAATTTCTCTATTCCTTCTGCCTGTCGAAACAAAAGCAATATAATTCATGTGGTCCCTACTCGTCAGTTTACCAAGAACTGTATGCAAATCATAAGACAAACATTTGCCCTGTTGTGTCTACAGTGTGTGTACCGTTAATGCCTACCATTTCTTGATTCTTGCTTCAAATCTGTTAATAAGTGTTTATTTTCTAGTTTAGGCAAAACATTTCATAGAATGGTAATGGAAATGACAATGCAAAAAATGAAAAGGTGATAAAAAAAAAAAACCTCTCTGAGGTAGGTTCTATTATTACCCAAGAGAGAAATACCTTATCCAAAGTCACACTTGACCGAGCCGGGATTTGAACCCAGGGCTGCCTCACCTCAGAGTACAAGTGCTTATCCACTATACTGAGTTGTGTTTTTGTGCATAATATGTTCTCTAAAAAAAATCTATAAAATCTCTTCTACTTGTGCTGAGGAATTTCAAAATTTAAAATCTACATGTCCACTTAGCATGATTTAACAGGATCCCATTGTAACACAATTGGTAAATGTAATTGACTTTATCTTTTATTTATTTTAATCCTTACCCAAGGAAATGTTTTTCATTGATTGGAGGGAGAGAGAGAGAGAGAGAGAGAGAGATTGGAGGGAGAGAGAGAGAGAAAGAGAGAAACATCAATGTGAGAGAGAAACATTGATGTGAGGGAGAAATATGCTTGGACCAGGAATCAAAACCGAAACCTGGGTATGTGCCCTGACTCAGCATAGTGGATAAGCACTTGTACTCTGAGGTGAGGCAGCCCTGGGCTCAAATGCCAGCTCTGTCAAGTGAGACTTTGGATAAGCATTTAATTTCTCTCTTGGGTAATAATAGAACCTACCTCAGAGAGGTTTTCTTATCACCTTTTCATTTTCTGCTTTGTCATTTCCATTACCATTCCATGAAATGTTTTGCCTAAACCCAAGACCCCTCAGTGAACTGGACAACACTCTAACCAACTGAGCCACACTGGCTAGGGCATTCATACTCTAAATTAAAGAGGAGCCTTAGCCAATTTGGCTCAATGGATAGAATGTCGGCCTGTGGACTGAAGGGTGGCAGGTTCGATTCCTTCAAGGGCATATACCTCGGTTGCAGGCTCGATCCCAAGCCCTGGCAGGGACGCGTGTGGGAGGCAACCAATCGATGTGTCTCTCTCACATTGATGTTTCTCTCTCTCTGTATCTCCCCCTTCCCTTCCACTATCTCTAAAAATCAATGGAAAAATATCCTCTGGTGAGGATTAACAAAAAATAAAATAATAAATTAATATAATATAGTATAATATAATAACATAATATAAATTTAAAGAGGAAACTGGCAAGTACTTCCAAAGTGTAATATATTTTTACATATAGATGGGAAAAAATCATTAGACATTACCAGAAGGATAGAGGAGGTGAGCTTGCAGGTCTTGCCAACAAATCTAAACAAGAAAAACCATCTCCTCTTTCCTTTTCAACTATGTATTTCCATTTCATTTATTTGAAACTCCAACCACTTACCTTCACTAAAAGCCTCTGGGTGATAGCATCAGAAGCAGCAGGTGAAATAGCTGTGATTGTGATATAAATTTCCCCCAGATGTGTTGGTTTGACTGGGAAAATAACCATCACCCCATCCTCATTAGGGACCAGAACGATCTGCATGTGCCCTGTGTCATTGACTTCATTTGAAGCCATTAGAATTTCAAATTTGTCACTTTCCTCAATGATCACCTTAACCTGGAAGAAAAAAATATTATCAAAGATTTTGTATAATAAATGCTCCTCTGTAAAGTGTTAACATTATTACTATTTTAAGTCCTATTAACCTGTGAGGCCCAAAACTAGAGAAAGATGAGATAGATTCAGTCAAGAAGAGGATGAAAGGGTACCATGGAAAACTTCATTGCTTTCTTATGCTTTCCATCTACTTCAATATATGTGGGGAAGGGCGTTCTTCAGAACATGAATTTCTCTTGTTATCTGATGCCTCTGAGTGATAAGGAGGGGCCCAGAAAGGTTATTCGTATCATGGTATTGCCATCAGCTGGTTTAACCATCATTCTGGGACATTGGTCTTACTAGAAAAACCTGAGACCAAAGGATGAAATGTTGTGACATTCACTGGGAGTCTCTGCTAAAATTAGTCCAAGGAAAGTCTGACCCCGACGTTAGCTCTGAAGCATATACTGGTGGTCAACGTTGTAACGTGCACCAAAGTTGCAGTCCCATCAAAACGAGCATTTCTCTAGGCCTTGCACATTATGACTTGTTTCCCCATTTATTTTCTCAAAATATTTTCTGTAAAGACAGTAATTGTTATTCCCATTTCACAGATGAGGAGACTACAACTAAGTTATTTGCTGGTAAGTGGTAGAGTGGGATGCTGAATCCCGGCCTTGGACTCCAGAGCTTAGGAGTCCATGCTGATTAGATGAAAAACTAAATTTTTATAATAAGAAACAATGTGCCTGGCCAGCATGGCTCAGTGGTTGAGCGTCAACCTAAGAACCGGGAGGTCACAGTTCGCTTCCCGGTCAGGGCACATGCCCAGGTTGCGGGCTCAATCCCCAGTGTGGGGCTTGTATGAGGCAGCCAATCAATGGTTCTCATCATTGATGTTTCTATCTCTCTCCCCCTCTCCTTTCCTCTCTGATATCAATAAAAATATATTTTAAAAACTAATAAAATAAGAAACAATTTACTCTATGGACCTAGTGCTTAAAGAGATGACAGCATTTTCATGAAGTACGGCTAATAAGGTTAATTACAAATCCCCACTTACTCTGGGGGGAAAAAACAACCAATCATTTGGTTAACATTCCTATGGACACAACACAAACAGTGAGCCTAATCCTGCCTTCCAGGGAACTGACTCGCTGAGGAGACACAAGGCACATGGCTCAAAACACCAAGCCTTGGAAACAGACACCCTGTCTAAATGTGAGGACAACACACGGAACAGAATGGTGAGGAAAGGCATCTTAGTTTCAAGCCAGGTCTTGAATGGAATAAATTCTTGCCAACCACACTGGGCAAAGAATGGCAGTGACAAGCGGCAACACATTCTAGATGTGAGTCAGACTAGGAAAAAACTGCAGACGGCAGGAAAGAGGAAGACCTGTCCCAGAGACAATAGGGAAGTTATGTGGCTACACTGGGGAAAATGTGCTGGAAAGGACAGAGGAGAGAGAGAGTGCTTATACGTGTGAATAATATCCCTAGACGTTAATAAGCAGAAGAAATCGCTGCCCAAGGATGTTTCTGCTCATTCCTCCAGAATGTATAAAAGGCTTAGATACCCAGAGCCTCAACACTAACCAAACCAGGCCCTGCACGTTTTCTCCATTTCTTCCTGTAGTATAAGTGGTGAACAAAATCTCTCATACATTACCTCAGTGTCAACTTTCAGATAATTGAATATGGTTATTTCCAAAGCAAATTCTTCACCTCTGATCACAGAGTTGGGAAGATTCGGAGAAATGAAAAATGGCTGAAAGACTTCTAGCTGGAAAAAACACAATGAATACATATTTTGTTCAAATCAAAATGCTTCACGTTTTATTGAATTAAAAGCAAATCTCACAAAACCTATGAAGCTTAACCTCACATAGAAATGTCCACTTGCCTATCAACATACAGCAAATGGCAACTCATCACAAATGAATATTTATGTTAGTTAACACTAGACTTTATTAAGGGCCACTAGGAACCAGGTACTTTACCCAAATTAATTCATTTAATCATTACAACCTTAAGAGGCAGTATTATCCTCATATTTTACAGAGATAAATAGGAAGTTCAGAGACCCCCCTGTAACTAGTATAAGATCACATTGCCAGTAAGTGAAGGAGCCAGAACTGGATCCCAGTGTGTGTGACGTCAAAGTCTGCTACTATGTTCTACTGACTCCACCATTCTGCTTTAAAAGCCACCAACCAAATCAAAGACTATTTCAGACTCATGTGCAAAGTCTAAATAATGGTCTGCTTACTGCTCTTAGCCTACATATGCAGACACCTGTACTTCCTTGTTGGTGACTCAACTCTGAGACTGTTGGCCAAGTCCTGCAGGAGAAACTGAACCTTCCCCTGCCTCTAAGGATAAACCTCAATTCCTTTAAGCCAATCGTTCCCACTGGCTGCACGAATTCTCTCTGGCGGTTTATTTGGGCATCTGTGGAAGTGTCTTAGGTTGCCACAACGTTTGAAGGAACTATTGGCACTTAGCAGGTGAAGGCCTGTAAGACTCAGGAGTCCCAGACAACGAAAAATTGTCCCCTATCCCTCATGAGTCTTGAATGTCTTTTCAGGCATCCAGGTAGACAAAGTACCTGCTTATAAGAACCGGAACTTACAACGTAATTCCAACATAATATAATGTAAACCCAAAACATTTTTCAACACACACTGAATTTCTCATGAATACAACTATTTTGGAAATCAAAAGGAGACTTTGTTTGTAATGTTACTAAAAGTTGTTCATGATTTCAGGAATTTATATCACCACAGGCAACTAAAACAATACAAGTATGTCAACTGCATATCTGTGCATGGTGTAAATATTTAAATATGTTATGATGTCTTCAAATGCAGCTATGCCTGCTCATATATATCCTGAAATATGTATTATTTTATTATACATTACCATCCTTTTATTTCTGCTTAATATTTCACTTAGTGTATCATATTGATTTTTAATTGAATATGTAGGTATTGTATATATTCTATGAATTTCATTTTTATTGGTAGAGAGACAAAACAAAATATCTGTTATATAAAGGGGCTTCAGGTATGACCAAGGATAGTTATTATACTCCTCTTGCCAGTGACTGGTTTAGGAAGTGACATGTGATGCAATTAAACCCAGATGTGAAGGAATGTCTGCTTGGGGACATTTTGAGAAGTTCTGTTTGTCCTTGAAAGAGGGACACACAGAAATATTCTCTGTCTTTTGACCTTTGGAAGTGGTTGGATTTGGTAAATAATAAACTTTCTATCCAAATCTTAATATGGACCCAGCACATTTAATAGCTTAATACAACTCACATTCTAAAATATAAAACAGATGAAACACAGACATACACAAAAAAACACCTAGGAATCTCTAAACCGTGATCAAAATCAAAAGCAATCTTTTTTTAATCTATTGAGGAGTTGACACTTTCTTCACTTCATGATATGGTAACATTTATAAGCAGCACTTTAATATGCTACCTCCGCTGGAGTAGTTGTTAGTCCAAAACCCAAGTCCTCAGAGACCACAAAAGCAGTAGCTATCCAAGAAGTGATAGAATCAGGTACAGTAACTTCAAATTCTTGGTAAATCCCGGAACTGAAGTCAAGATAAATATAAAAATTACAAAACCAAGAACTGATACATTTCAAAATAAGTCAACATAACCTAAAACCATTTTTGGAAGAATATTAATTTTCTAAAACATTTACATATCTAAAATTTTTTAAGACTTACACATAAAACAATAAGGAATAGGCCATAATAAGATACTGATCCATATTTAAATAAAAGCTTTCTACAATGTTTATATCTTAAGGATGAACATTATTTTCATAAATTTTGTATAATTAATAAATATATTTTTTCAAATAACTTTAATTTCATCTTTCAATTTGCATAAAAGTTTCTCTCTATATCCCAATCAATGCTACTATTTGTTGGGTATTTTTTAGGTTTGACTTGTGTCTTATTTCAAGTTTCCGTAAATAGGAGACTATAAAATACATATAGATCTCATGATTTACCTGCTCGGTCATCAGACAGGTAGCACAGGGTTTGTCACCTAAGTGAATTCCTTACACCACCCACACCCCTTTTCCTGTGGCTCAGGGGAATGTATTATGAGGAGCCACAAAGTAGAGGGAGTAACCATGAGTGCTCCCCATCCCAAGGCAACAAATATACTCAGCAATTTTTCTATAATGAACCAAAAGACTTCAAAGAAGTTAAAAATCACCCCTCATTAGTGATGACTGCCACAATTCACATGTGGCTTTACTAAATACTATATTTAGATGCAATCAACATCACTTTGACATAAAAACCTCTTGGTCTATTTAGTTCTTAATCACACTATGTTTGTACTTACACAACAAAAAGAGGGCAAAACTTCTTTAAAACTAACACTAAACAAAATATATATGGACAAATAACTTTTTTACCCCGTGTTGGTGTCTAGCCAAATCCAAGTCTCTGGAAAATGTTTTCTGACATGTGGATTCTCAACTGAAGAAAAGTCATAGAAATCTCCAAAGTTTCCATCATTTTCCTCCATGTACTCCACATCAAGTGATTGACTGTCATCTAAAAATAAACATTGGCAACTATTAGGAAAATTGTCACTCTTCTAGACAATGATTATAAACAATCCACAGAATCACAGCACCTTTCAGCTGAATGGGACTTTAGAGTTTATCTTGTCCAATCCTCTCATTTTGCAGATGAGCAATATGAGAAATTAAATGACTTACCCTAGACCAAGTGGCCAGTTACAGCCAAGAGAGAAATAAAAAAAAAAACCTTTCCTGCCCCTATGGCCAATACCCCAAAAACTACTTACAGTTCCGTTGCTAAAGATTCAGTTAAATCACATTTTTAAAGCCACCTCCTTTTTTGCTATTCTCCTCTTTTTAGCTCTCTAATGCTGATCACCATTGCCTACACTGGCCATAAGATGTCCCTAACTTTATTCTTATTTTAAAAACCATATTGCCATACAGACTCTAAATCACCTATCTCTATTTTTACAACTCATCCAGAAGTCCAAAATTCTTTCAAAATAAAATGTTAAAAAAAAGTATACTATAATAGGTACCAAGGATACAAAGATGAATGTAATGAGCTCCACTATATGGAGGAGGTAGACAAATAGAAGACTGTAGCAAACAAGAATAGTTGATTTTACACAGAATCTGGATCATGAAAAAAAGTATGCCTATGGGGGAAAATCCATTTTACATTGTTTTGGACGTTCCATTTTCCTTCCGTCTCCAAAGAAAGAGTATCCCATGGGGGGAGGGGGAGTAAACTAAGCACAAAGGCATGTCCAGAATGTGACAATTAGTACTAGGTAAAAGTGTCATACAATGAGGGGGGAAAAGAATGGCTGGGTCCATATTTTAAAATATCAAATACCCCATGCTAAAGGGTTTGCACATAATCCTTTAAGCCAGTAGTCGGCAAACTGCAGCTCGCAGGCCACATGCGGCTCTTTGGCCCCTTGAGTGTGGCTCTTCCTAAGCCTTAAGAGTATCCTAATTAAGTTAATAACAATTTACTTACCTATATAGTTTAAGTTTAAAAAATTTGGCTCTCAAAAGAAATTTCAATCGTTGTACTGTTGATATTTGGCTCTGTTGACTAATGAGTTTGCCGACCACTGCTTTAAGCAATGATGACCTATTGAAGGTTTTAAATGAATTAGAAACATGCTCTAACCCATGTTTTATAGGCTAACTCTACCCTCAGTGTAAGCCATGGTTTAGAGCTGGGGGAACATGGAGGTGGGCAGAACTGTTAGTTAGGAAGCTACAGCAATGGTCAAGGAGGCACTGCTAGGAGTCTGAAACCAAAGAGAGGAGAGGGAAGATAATGTCAATAATTCTGTTCTATCTCTTGCACCACATGATTGGATGAGCTCTGTGTGTGCCCAAGGCACCCTGCACTTCCCCATCAGCACACTCTTCTACCTATGTGTTGCTTTGCCCCACTAGACCAAGTTGGAAGCTCCGTTGCCTTGCACATGCTAAGCATGCAATTAATATCATCACTATCTTTTGAATAATGAATGAGCAAACTGTATTTGAGGGATAATAAAATAGGTAATTGCAGACTTAGAAGTGTCAAACAAGCGTTAAACATTTATATGCTTTTGAATTTAACCTCACAACAACCCTTTAATAGAAGTAATATTATTAGTCCCATACTTCAGGGAGAAAACTGAGGCTTAGAGAACTTAATTGATTTTCTCGGTCATAAGGTCAGAATTCAAAGCCAGAAGTATGTGGTGGAAAATTCCTTTCTTAACCACTATGCTGGTCCATGTCTGACGGGAAGAGAGGGTGAGTTCTGAGGTTTTTATTTGGACATCTGAGTAAATAACGATTTCATTAATAGAGATATGAAATCATATCAATTCAAGGAATCAATCAAAACCTATTAAGGAACAGTGAGGTTGTAAGAAGAGACCAATCATAAATTTGGTTTGTGATATATTGGATTTAAGGTATTTGTGGGGCATCAGAGGGGTGCATAAACAGAGGGGTAAGACAAACAGTTGAGTTGTTCCAAAGTTGACTTTAAGGAGGATGATGTCATGGAAGGGTCTGGGGAAGTATTCAACCAAATTGAGTCACCATGTACTGGTAGTCCAGGTCAGCAATGGGAGGAAAACAGAGGCAGAGGAGCCAATAACTCAGAATAACAAGAAGACCAACTAGGACATTTAATAGATTTTGAGGGGATTGAGGGAATATACAAGGCAGAAGGATAGGCATTTGAAATGTTAGGAGTAGAGCCGTGTTCAGGTGATAATATGACCTTGGGTGACTATTATTTCCACAATGGTGATCACAGGACAGCACACATTAGATGGATTGACCACATGGACATTCAAATCTCCCAGGATGACAACAGGAGTAAGACTTTGAATCTTTTTTGAGAGCATCGAGGTAGAAAAAGGGAATGGAAAAGTTGTTGACCTGAATTTTGATTAAAGGAGTTATAATTAAAACTTTATGAGCTTCAAATAACAAGGAGCTCTTAAGTGAAGATTGTTGAACAGTGGGTCTTAAAGTAACTAAGAAAAGATAGCTGAAAAATACCTTGTGTACCTACTGATCCTGATCCCAAGGAGAGAAAGATAAATAAATGCTCATTTGAGAAGGTTTCTCACGATACAATACACTAGTAAGAGTATCAGGTTTCTTTTGTTACTATAAAAAGGTAGCAGAAGATTCTCAGAAAAAGGTAAAGGATACAGGAAGTATTACTAACAAAGGTGAGTATTACAGTGGGCAACAGGAATTGATAAGATGAACAAAGATGGGTTAAAGCTGAGACTGACAAAGAGTGAATGAAAAAAGATATGATTGCTTAGAAGGCTGTCAGGATAAATAATTATATGAAGGGAGCTAAACGTTCCATATGTCTTTAATGTCATAATGACTCCCAAAATCTTTAACACTATAAAATTTTCCTTTTAGTTTCAGGAAAGAGGCTCAGGTATGTAGCAAGAATGCCAAAGAGCTTGGTGTGGAGAAACTCAACATCTGACAGAAACAGGAATTTAGGGATAGAAACTGTGACAGTTCTGAAGCCTTTCAAGATGATATTAGTATAACTTGAAAGAAAACAGAACAAGTTCTAGAATTATTTATTCTCATTTATACATTTCCTCAGTCAAAACATTTTATGATTTCTTCCTAAAAGTACACTTATTACTAGCTGAGTGACCAACTGTATGTAGCAGTCTAGGGAACTAGATGTGACCCCACCAGGAAGAACTCAGAATGATATGATGATGACTGTGTGTGTGTGTGTGCACACATGCTTACGTGTGTGTGTGTGTGTGTGCGCGTGCGTGTTTGTGTGTGCACACCATATACTTTACTAGAGGCTCAATGCACAAAATTCGTGCAAGAGTAGGTCTTCCTTCTCCCGGCTGCTGGCACTGGCTTCCCTCTGGCACCCAGGACTTGGGCTTCCCTCTAGCTGCCGGCAGGCACCCAGGACCCAGGCTTCCCTCACAACCCTGGCTTTATCTGGAAGGATGTCTGGAAGGACATCCGGTCTAATTAGCATATTATGCTTTTATTATTATAGGTGGTGAACATTCTAGGTGGACATCAAAAAGCTAGAGAACAAAAATGTTTCAAAAACATATTGCTCCTTTTATCTAATTCCAAAATAACATCACAGTTTGCAATACAAATTGGAAGCACAGGATCTTCCAATATGTCCAAAAATGTCATCACCTGAAAGAATTACAGAGAGCAAATGGAAAGCATTAATTTCAGAGAATCCCAGTTGAACATTCCATGTCATGTCCAGATGTACTCCTAAATACATTAAACTCCAAACATTTTAGGATAAGAGACAGAAAATAAATATCACAATATCCATGTTCAATATAAATAATGTTAAATAGCTGAGATGAAAGACTTAAATACTTGAAAATCACTTTACCAGGTTTTACTTACAAACACCATCAATGTCATCCTTCATAAGGCTGGCATCCGTCAATACCCAGAGGCCACATTCCTAGAAAGAATAATTAAAATTTTCTCTTAAAGATTAATGCTACTAAATTGTCACAGCACTCTCCCTCATTTTTGCTCATTTTTTATGCAGAATGTCAAAGTCATTTTTTTCACTCTTGCTCATTTTTGAGTGTTTAGATATGTACATGTGTATACATTCTCATTCTCTCCTCTCTCTCCTTCTCTCTCTCTCATATACAGACAGATACACAAACACACACACACAAACACACATACACACACACACACACACACACACAACAAGTCAAGGAAAGTGATACGAAGGAAAAAAGTATTTGTTTAATGACAATTCCTTTAATTTCTCTAAGTGAATTTTTCCATTTGCTTTTAAAACTGGAAGGATAACTGTCTTTCCACTTCAACTTACACTTATATAACACTCTGCACTTCATCAATGCATTTAATAAAAGATTAACACTTCATAAATTCAAATCATTACTTCTAAAAGTGGTTGCAAGAGTAAAAATATTAATCTCTTTTCAAATAAACATACCTGAAAGACTGCAAAAGAATTCACGAACACGCCTAAATAATATCCCATGTTATAAAGTCCCAACTCTTGGACCACCTAAGGAGAAGATAAAATATATGGAATGGATCAATTCATACCAACATGTTCTGTGCTGGGCAATATTTCTTAAATATACTAGTAATTTAGATTAGACACAGCCCACATACTTATCAAATTTGAAAATGACACAAATGGAGAAATAATGAGTATGTAGATGTCTTGCTCATGATTCATTCAGTCAAAATTACATTTCTTATTTAAATTTGTTTTTATTCTGTTTAGCAATCAAGAGTTCCTAAGAATTATGGACTTGAGTTTTGCCCAAGAGGAATTGAAATGTCTACTGGTTGACAAGACCAACACATAGAGGTCAGCATTAAAATGACCAATATGTTTGGCAGAGATAAGCTAAATTCAATGGTTAAACTAACTTCTGCAAAATATCAGTTAAATTTTTTAAAAATAATACAAAGAGAAAATTCACAAATGATGAAATACAAATTATTAATAAGCAGAAAACATAGTCAACTTCATTGATAATCAAAGCAATGCAAATTACAACATATATGAGATAGTTTTTGCAGAGATATTTGCATGTATCACATTCGCAATGTTAATTTTTAAGAGCAGTATTCATTGCTAGCAAGAGTGAGTAAAATTGGCAGTTTCTAAAATAGTTAAACACAGAATTAGACTATGGCCTGGCAATTACACTCCTATGTATATACGCAAAAGAACTGAAAACAGAGATTCAAAGAGATCCTTGTATGCCAGTGTTCATTGCAGCATTTAGTTACAATAGCCAAAAGGTACAAACAACCTAAGCATCCATCAACAGAAGAATACATGAACAAGATGTGGTATATGCATACAACAGAGTATTATTCAGCCGACAAAACATAGTTTTGATACAAGCTACAATATGGAGGAACCTTGAAGACATTATGTTAAGTGAAATAAGGTAGACTGAAAAGGACAAATATTAAATGACTAAGTGGCCCGGTGCACGAAGTTGTGCACATTGAAAGGAAATTAATTAGAAGAAATATTTTAATATCGCTATTCGCCCTTTCTCAATAATAGACATGTCAACCAAATTCACGATTGACAATGACAGATCAAAACACATGCATGCGATTGGAGCCAGCAAGACCTCGCATGTGCAAGTCAACTTAGCCATATATATATATATATACATACATACATACATACATAATAAACTTGCTTAGACCTGCTTTCTGATTTAGCTAAACTTTTTCCAACCCAGTGAAGCACCCCAACATCTCTTTCAGGTAATTGCCAGCAACACAGCAGTCAATATCAACATGAAGCAGATTATTATTGTAGATCATGCATGGAGAACAAAGTGTAAAATATTTAACTGTAGCAATGTTTGACTATATTCTGCACAGTGAGAAAACCTGAAGTCATCTTCTTTTTTTTTTTAAATAAGTCTTTATTGTTCAGACTATTACAATTGTTCCTCTTTTTTCTCCCCATAGCTCCCCTCCACCCGGTTCCCACCCCACCCCATGCCCTCACCCCACACATTGTCCTCGTCCATAGGCGTTCGATTTTTGTCCAGTCTCTTCCCGCACCCCCCACATCCCCTTTTCCCCCAAAAAAGTCCAGTCCACTCCCTTTCTATGCCTCTGATTCTATTATATTCACCAGTTTATTCTGTTCATTATATTTTTTATTCACTTGATTTTTAGATTCATTTGTTGATAGATATGTGTTTGTTGTTCATAGTTTTTATTTTTACTTTCTTCTTCTTCTTCCTCTTCTTAAAGGATACCTTTCAGCATTTCATATAATAGTTGTTTGGTGGTGATGAACTCCTTTAGCTTTTTCTTATCTGTGAAGCTCTTTATCTGACCTTCAATTCTAAATGATAGCTTTGCTGGGTAAAGTAATCTTGGTTGTAGGTTCTTGCTATTTATCACTTTGAATATTTCTTGCCACTCCCTCTGGCCTGCATAGTTTCTGTTGAGAAATCAGCTGACAGTCGTATGGGTACTCCCTTGTAGGTAACTAACTGTTTTTCTCTTGCTGCTTTTAATATTCTCTTTGTCTTTTGCCCTTGGCATTTTAATTATGATGTGTCTTGGTGTGGTCCTCTTTGGATTCCTTTTGTTTGGGGTTCTATGCGCTTCCTAGACTTGTAAGTCTATTTCTTTCACCAGGTAGGGGAAGTTTTCTGTCATTATTTCTTTAAATAGGTTTTCAATATCTTGCGCTCTCTCTCCTGGCACCCCTATAATTCGGATGTTGGTACGCTTGAAGTTGTCCCACAGGCTCCTTGCACTATCTTCATATTTTTGTATTCTTTTTTCCTTTTGCTTTTCCGGTTGCATGTTTATTGCTTCTTCATATTTCAAATCTTTGACTTGGTTCTTGGGATCCTCTAGTCTGCTGTTGGATCTCTGTATAATATTCTTTATTTCAGTCAGTGTTTGCTTAATTTCTAATTGGTCCTTTTCATATCCTTGAGGGTCTCACTAAATTTCTTGGAGCTTTCTAGTAGATTCTTGAGTAACCTTATAACCGTGGTTTTGAACTCTATATCCAGTAGTTTGCTTTCCTCCATTTCTGTCATTTGTGACCTGTTTGTCTCCGCATTTTCGCTGCTTCCCTGTGTTGATAGAATGGCTTTGTGTGCTAGGTGTCCTATAGGGCCCAGTGGCTCAGCCTCCCCAGTCACTTGAGGTGGACGCTGTTGGTGCACCCCTGTGTTGGCTGTGTGTCTTGTTGTAGTTAAGCCTTGATTGCTGTTGGTATCACTGGGAGAAATTGACCTCCAGACCAATTGGTTGTGAGGACCAATTGTGTCTGCAATGGGAGAACTGCTGTGCTGGAAACACCCTTATGGGGCAGGACTTGCTTCAGTGGGGCTTTGGTGCTCAGTCTGCCCCCTGAGTGTGTCTCATATGGATCTGAAGAGTTGTAATCTGGTGTGGTCTCACTTTGACCACCTCTTGGATCTCCAAGGAGGTGCAAAGTCAACCACTGCCTGAGGCCACCCAGCAGGAGCTACAGAAAGATCTTCAGATTCCTCCTCTTTTTTGGAGGTTTGGGGGTGCCCAGATGAGGCACAGCTGTGAAGCAATGCAGTCTGCTGACCAGCCTTAGGCCTTCTTTTGAAAGCTCTGGGGTTTGACCCAGCTGCAGTTTGTTAGGTTAGGTTGCAAAAGGCCAGGCCATTCATATGCAAAAGCCTCTGTGCACAGCTTGGGTGGGGTTGTAAATTGGGTGGGGAGTGATCTCAGGGAATCACGGATCCGTGCAAACAGCAATGGTTGCCTGTCAGCCCTGCCCCAATAGGTCCTTGGGTCTCTGTGTCCTGTGGGCCCATGTAGGAACAATGATCGCTGCAAGCACCTCTGAGAGAAAGCTACCCTCACATTCCGGCCCGATGCCAGACAGTCCAGTTTCTCCCCGTATGAGTCTGGGTCCCCAGAGTCTCACCCGGAACTGGATTTCAGAGCAGTCGGGAGTTTGTATCTCCCTCCCGATTGAAAAAGATCACAGCATACCCAGTTGCCAGCCCGTTTTGCGCACCTCAGTACCTCCACTCTTCCACACCTCTGCACCTCCTACCAGTCTAGATGCACTTTTCTCTTTCCCTCTAGTTGTCGGATTTCCTCTCAGCCAGCCTTCCCGTGGTTCTGGATGATATCTGTTTTGTCTTTTAGTTATAGTTTTGATAAGGTTGTGGGAGGCAGCAAGTACAGGTGTTTACCTATGCCACCATCTTGGTTCTCCTCCTCCCTATTATTCTTTTTTTTAATACATATTTTATTGATTTTTTTACAGAGAGGAAGGGATAGGGATAGAGAATTAGAAACATCGATGAGAGAGAAACATCAATCAGCTGCCTCCTGCACACTCCCCACTGGGTATGTGCCTACAACCAAGGTACATGCCCTTGACTGGAATTGAACCTGGGACCCTTGAGTCTGCAGGTCGACGCTCTATCCGCTGAGCCAAACCAGTTAGGGCTCCCTTATTATTCTTTTTTTTAAATTAAATCTTTATTGTTCAGATTATTACAGTTGTTCCTCTTTTTCCCCCCATAGCTCCCCTACACCTGTTTCCCATCCCACCCTCCGCCCTCACCGCCCCCCACCACTGTCCTCATCCATAGGTGCATGATTTTTGTTCAGTCTCTTCCCGCATCCCCCACACCCCTTTCCCCCCCAAGACTAGTCAGTCCACTCCCTTTCTATGCCCCTGATTCTATTATAATCACCAGTTTATTCTGTTCATCAGATTATTTATTCACTTGATTTTTAGATTCACTTGTTGATAGATGTGTATTTGTTGTTCATAATTTGTATCTTTACCTTTTTCTTCTTCTTCCTCTTCTTAAAGGATACCTTTCAGCATTTCATATAATACTGGTTTAGTGGTGATGAACTCCTTTAGCTTTTTCTTATCTGTGAAGTTCTTTATTTGACCTTCAATTCTGAATGATAGCTTTGCTGGATAAAGTAACCTTGGTTGTAGGTTCTTGGTATTCATCACTTTGAATATTTCTTGCCACTCCATTCTGGCCTGCAAGGTTTCTGTTGAGAAATCTGCTGACAGTCATATGGGTACTCCCTTGTAGGTAACTGACTGTCTTTCTCTTGCTGCTTTTAAGATTCTCTCTTTGTCTTTTGCTCTTGGCATTTTAATTATGATGTGTCTTGGTGTGGTCCTCTCTGGATTCCTTTTGTTTGGGGTTCTCTGTGCTTCCTGGACTTGTAAGTCTATTTCTTTCACCAGGTAGGGGAAGTTTTCTGTCATTATTTCTTTAAATAGGTTTTCAATATCTTGCTCTCTCTCTTCTGGCACCCCTATAATTTGGATGTTGGTATGCTTGAAGCTGTCCCAGAGGCTCCTTACACTATCTTCGTATTTTTTGATTCTTTTTTCATTTTGCTTTTCCGGTTGGGTGTTTTTTGCTTCTTCATATTTCAAATCTTTGACTTGATTCTTGCGATCCTCTAGTCTGCTGTTGGGAGTTTGTATAATATTCTTTATTTCAGACAGTGTATGCTTAAGTTCTAGTT